GACCAGGGATGCTCGGATGCTGTGGAAATGACTTGCTGCCTCTGCCAGACCCAATTTAGCCCACACCAGCTGCTTCCCAGAGGTGCACATAACCCTGAAATGAGCTGCTATAAAATGACTCAGCCAAGGCAAACCCTTCCTCCTAACACCTCGTGCTGGTGTTTGACATATGACCCGGCAGAGGGAGATTGCTAACAATACCCACATTTTATATAGCACTTTGGGAAATCTCAGATGGCTTTTCACAGAAGTCTATTTGGAGCTCAAGGCCTCTGAGGATGTGTCAAGGACAGAGTTTTGGTACCCAGGGTTTATTGCCAGGAGGGATCTGCTAAACCACTCTAGCAAGAAAGTACTGATGGCTCTGGTTAATTTGCCATTGTTAGGATCCAGAGTAAACACCCCAGAGAAGATCAGGGAGCTCATCTCTCTCAGCCAGGGTTTCAGGTTAACCAGCACAGTTTAGATGCTAAAGCCCATTTTGTGATGCACCCCAGAGACCGGCAGGAGCACAAGGTGGCTGTGGGAGCATCCCATGAAGAGCCAGGCCAGGAGCCCTGTCTGCTGATGGGATCATCAGCCTCTGGCAGCTAAGGCGAGTGCTCGACCTTTGGGAAGTCCCAAGAGGGACCCAACAAGGCCCCGTGCACTGGGCACCACTCAGGAACAGCCCCGAGCGGTGCAGAGGAGCTCCTGGGGGGGAGCTGGTGCAATCACTGCAGGCTTTGTGCCGGGCAGGTCACTGGGTGTGTGTTTCCTGGCATACAATTCCCAGATTAGCAGGAGCCCGGCTGCCAGCAGCTCCTCCGTGAGTGAGCTGAGGTCAGTGGGTCCCAGTGCTCGGTGAGGATGGGGCATCTCCTGCCCTGCACCCAAGGGGAAGGGCAGGGACAGGACCCCCAGCCCTTCTCCTACCTCTCTAAGAGATTGTTTGTTCCCAAAGGGATGGAGTTAACCACCAGCCAAACCCATCTCACTGCTCCTTTCGCAGTGGGTGGGGAACAGAGGCTGAGACCTGGCTCTTCTTAGCCTAAAATGATGAATAAAAACCTTACAAGCCACAGAGCAGAGAACATGAAAAAGCTGGAGGGTAAAAGAAGGGTTGGGAAAGGAGAAAAAGTAATTCAGCACTGAGCTCTTTAATGAGGGAAAGTGAATAATCAGAGGGCAAAGTGAGAACAGTTTAGTCACGCCAAGGGCTTATTCTAAATACATAAATAAGTGAATTTCAAACCAAAGCCAGGCCGTGCCAGCCGGGGGGTGAGACTCACCGAGGACCAGGAAAGGAGAAAGCAACCAGGGAAACAGGGTATGTTCATTAAAGAGAAACACAGGGGAAGGAAGAGGAAAAAGCTGGAGCTGAGGAGCTCCCTGGGACAAGCCTAAGCCCAGCCAGCACCAGGATGGAGAGCAAAGAAGCAGCAGCGCTGATCTCTCCTTCAGGAGGGCTTCTGAATTGGCATCTTAATGATGCTTATGAATTGGCATCTGAGTGATGCTTATGAACTGGCATCTGAGTGATGCTTATGAATTGGCATCTGTTTGCAGACATCCCCCTCAGAGGCTGAAAGGAGCCACTGTGCTGCTCTCGGGACCAACCCCACGCCCTGAGCCTCGTGGCAGATGGGTTCACCCAGAGCAGCCTCCCCACTGAACCCAGGTGCTTTGCTCAATGTCCCTGCACGCACCCAGCAGTATGAGAGCCCTGCTCAAGCAAACAGGACGGTGAATTCCTGGCGTGAGACAAAGAACCTGCCTCCACACTCCCTTTTCCAATGCTGTTTGGGAGCTTCCCACCCCCCGCCCCGCTGCAGCTACTGGAGACAAGACAAGGAGGAAGGAGATGGGATGCTGTGGAGGGACCCCAGGCACATGCTCCTGGTGGGCAGCGAGGGTGAGCAGCCCCATCCCCACCGCCCAGACGTGCTCTTCCTGTGCATGGAGTGAAGGAAGTGGCTTTTTCCGCTCCCGTGCCTGTCCCTGCCTTCGGGAGCAGCGCGCTGGTGCTCAGCTGCCCTCGTCCCGCACCGCAGCAGTGATAACCAGCACGGATTCGCCTCCGCAGGGCCCGGCTCGGAAACTGCTCGTTTCCTCTGCACTGCCTGGGGCTGCCAGAGCCCTCGTCAGCCACGACTTGAGAGGCATTGACAAGTACAGCGCTGACCCATGAGGTGGCTTGGAGGGGAGGAGTTGGCGTGCAGCCCTTTGCAGGAAAGGGGAAACTGAGGCAGGGAGCGCAGAGCCAGTCACCTCAAAGGGGAGACTTAAAACCAAGCCCATTTAATAACTAACCTCAACTGAAACGTGCTGGCTTTTATCCTGCAGAAGCCACCAGCTTTTCTATAGCAATTTATGGACCTGTCATGGGGCAATTTTAAGTGTATGGGCCCACGTGCCTTCCCTGTGGCCCCACAACGGCTTGGTGGAGGCAGGAATACAGCTGTGGCCACAGTGAACCATGGTGGCACATGACGCCACGAGTGATGCCCCATGTCAGTGTTCCAATGGCATTTTCCCCTTCTATACTGACCTCAGCCTTTTCCAGGGGTTCCTGTTCCACTTGCTCACAGCTTCTCCCAGAGCATTCAATGGTCTCGCCTGCTCTGTCTTCAGAAAACCTCAGAGAAAGAAATACATCAGAGAGACCTCCCGAGTCCTACAGCAAACTGGAATAACACCCTCAACGTGTCCTCACAGGCAGGAACTGGCCCCAGATGCTGACTGCTTGGCCGCATCACCACAGCGCCTTACAAACAGGCTGTCCCAAGCTTGCTGGGGACAAGGGTGTAAAGCAGGAAGGTCTGGGAGTCCCTGCCCTCCTCTGGAAGCCCACAATGACATCAGCCCCCCGCAGAGATTTATCAGCCCTGTGATGGACACACACAGACACGCATACACCCCGCCTCCATATTCATACAACTGGTTATCTGAAGGTGTGTTTGTAAGTTTTGTCCTGAGTAGATCGTAACAACAGCTCTTCCAGTGCCTGGAAAACACAAGCTGGCTTACACCGGCTTCTCTGGCCACAGCAAACAGACGCTTTAACATCTAACATGCTCCAATAGCTGCTATAGGAACAAGGCCTGGATTTGTTGGGGTCTGGGGTTATTTTTAGTTAATTTGATAAATCTGGTGCGTGCAAGAAGCGCTTTGCCTGAAGCCTCTTATTCTCTGCTCATCCAGAGCCCAGAGAGAGCACAGCCAGGATAAACAGCATGAAGACCCTGTGGTCTTGGCACAGCAGCTGAGCCCTGCAGGGAGCTGGGACACCCGGCTCCAACCTCATCCCTGGGTGCTTGGCACTGCCACCACCTTTATCCAACCGGGAAAGGGGCCTCGCCTGCAGAGAGGAGCCAGGAGGAGACCCTGTGGATAACACCCGGTGAACAGCAGCAGGTTTGCTGCTCCTTTCCCAGCTGCGATTGCTTTCCACACCCCAGCATCCCTGGAGGGCCACCACCGCGGCTGAGCTGGGTACCGCGAAGCTGGACCGGCTCCCTCCTACCGGGGAGCAGCCTCACTCTTGAGTCGCATCCTCCGGACAGGGCCGGCCCGGCGCCGTTGGAGGTCGGACAGTGCCACCTGGTGCTCCGAGGAGCCGCCGCTCCGCCAAGGGCTGAGGGATGCGGCGGAGCTCCCCGCTCAGCTCCCGACCAGCACCGCACCGGGGGCAGGACGCGAGGAGCGGGGGTATCACCGGTGGCTCTGTGCTTCACCACGCGTCCCGGGGCATGAGGCTGCAGCAGGGAAAGAGAACAAGGTTGTGTCAGTGCTGGCAAAATGTCTCTGTACAGCAGCTTCGTGCTGATGCGATGCTAACTCCAGCAGCCGATCTTGACAAACCCTCTCCCTCTTCTTCCCCCCTGCCCCTGCCATGTCAATTCATCACCCAGGGATCTCGGAGCACTTCAAGCAATTGGGCAGGTGCCTCTTGACACAGACCGGGAACTGAGGAAAACGAGGAAAAAAAGGTTGTTCCAGGGGGATACAAACCCCAGCAGAGCTCCCACACCCAAAGCATTAATATGCCTCCTGTATTTTCCAGGCAGCAGCAGCAGTGGTAGCATGGCTTTTCTGTACAGCAAGGAAATCTATTAAAGAAACATCTTTATAACAGCTTCAGGCACCTCCCCAAGCCTATGGGCAAGCACTGCCCTGGAGTCTGCTTTGCTGCCTGGAACAAGAGACTGACCATATCTCAAAGAGGTGCTTTAATGCTCCGCATCCCCACGGAGAGGGGTCTGCTCTGTCCTGGATGGATGTGCTGCACCTTGCACAGCCTGCATTCCAGCACAGCACCTTTATTAAACCACAGCCTTTCTGCCACCCCAGCTGTTTCCTGCAGCTCCACTCAGTCTACCTTCTTCAGGGACTCTCAGAGCCCTGACCAAGCAGCTGGAGCCTGTGCTCTGCTGCGGGTGTGTTTCTGTGCTGCAAACCTGCCCTGTCCACATTGTCTGGATTGGTGATGCCCATCCTGCTCCATCCATGGCCTCCTCTGGCTCACTCATGCTGTCTTGAAGATACCTGGATAAATGACCAGCATCCCTGACCTGATTCTCAGAGACCTTAGAGCAGCTCCCAGAGTCTAAAAGGGCTACAAGAGACCTGGAGAGGGGCTTTGGACAAGGGCCTGTAGGGATGGGCCAAGGGGAATGGCTTTAACCTGCCAGAGGGGAGACTGAGCTGAGCTCTTAGGCAGAAGCTCTTCCCAGTGAGGGTGCTGAGGCGCTGGCACAGGGTGCCCAGAGAAGCTGTGGCTGCCCCATCCCTGGCAGTGTTCAAGGCCAGGTTGGACACAGGGGCTTGGAGCAAGCTGCTCCAGTGGAAGGGGTCCCTGCCTGTGGCAGGGGTTGGAGCTGGAGGAGCTTTAAGGTCCCATCAACCCGAACCATTCCACGGACCACGGCAAACCAGGTGCCTGGGTGCGGTTGGATGGGGAAGGATGGGAAGGGATCATGTCCGTGCCCGCAGCGCGCTCCAGCCGGGGAAGGCGCCTGTAGAGGGAGCCTGAGCCCGCCTGACTCCTCCGGCGTCAATGGTCCGGGGCTGGGTTTCGGGGCTGGTTTCTTTCTCTCTCCTCCTACCCGGCCCTGTTCGCTTCCTTCCCCCGCGACCGCGCTCGCAGCAGGCAGGAAGGGAGGCGGCGGGATGGGGCCGCTGCCCGCAGGGATGCGTTAGTGCCCGGACACCCCAGCCTGGGCCCCGCCGGGACGCGGTGAGTACCGGGACACCCCCCCCCGGGGATGGGTTATCCCTTCCCACCGGGCCCGGCCGCCGCTGCGCTGACCTGGGGGAGGGATGCGGGAGCCCCGGCAAGGAGAGAGCGGGGGACAGAGCCGCGGGGCCTCATCCCGCACCGCGCCGGGGAGGGGGATAAAACATCCCAGGGAGCAGCAGCCCGCGGGTGCCAGGGCTGGAAGCGCTCCCCGGAGCTCATCGCTGCCCCAAAAGAGAGAATATCGCTTCTTTTAATGCTATTTCCCCAGCGCGGGGCGGGGGGGGGCTGCCCTTGCGAGGCCGCTGCTGTGCTGGCCACGGCAGCATCCCCATGCTCGGGCTGAGGGGCTCGGTGCGGCCGTGGCTGTCCCGATGCGTCCCACAGCGCTCGGTGGGAAGCGGTGTGCCAGAGCGAGGACCAGGGTGACGGTGACCAAGGTCCGACTCGCCCCAATCTGTGCTGCGGCGCCGGGCACTGCACGTGTGGGTTTGTGGGCTTGGTTTAACGCTAAAGTGGGCGAACAGTGGGAAAACCGGGCACACTAACCTAGGCCAGGCGGGGAGGGCTCTCCCTGGTCCATGCAGGGATGGCATCAGGGCACAGGAATCCTACAGGATCCCTGCTCTGGGGAAGGCGATCCCAGGCACGCCACGTGATGGAATCCCTCCCATGCAGGGGCCCAAGGCCAGACCTGCAAAATGCTCGTCCCAAAGGATGCTCCACGCATTTCCTGGAGCCGGATCCTCATAATTTGTCAGGGGGTGACTTCAGAGCCCCATAGCCAGGCTTATTCATAGGGTTCTGGCTGCTCCCTCAGCATGAAGATCTGCCTCCTGCTCTAGGCCAGTCCCACCATTCTTCCTGCACCCAGGGCTCAGGCTCTTTCACTTGCAGAAGCATTAGATTACTGAGTGTGTCCTAAGGACACCCATGAAACGTGTCAGAGACCTTTAAGGAAAGGAGATGAGAATGAAACGAGAACCAGCTGAGGCAAAGGTCTTCTTTTTTATTAGGGAAGCCTGGCCCGTTCCAGGAAGGCTGGCTCTTTGCATGGCCTGTACTCATTAATAAAGATAAGACTCCTGTGCCCATCTTGGAGGTGTTGCTGATTCCACCTCCTAGGTGCTTTCTTGCTGCTTTTAACCCTTTGCAGCCTCCCGCGAGAGCAGAAGGTCAGAGGGGAGCTGGATCTTCCAGGAGCTGCTGAGAGTTAGGCCCTGCTCCCCCTAAGCTGCAGCTCCCCAAACCCTCTGTGAGCCTTGTCCCAAGTCCTGGAGAGCCTTCACTTTCTGCAGCCTTGGGTTGTCTTTAAGTGTGGCTTCCACATCCTGCTCCACACCCTCCCCTGCTCTCTTCCAGCATCGTCTCCTCATAACAAAGGGGGAATAGGACAAACTTGAGAATCATGGAATCCTTTAGGTTGGAAAAGACCTTCCTTTAATAAAGATCGAGTCCAACCATTAACTGAACATTGCCAAGTCCACCACTAAACCCTGTGCCGTGGCTATGCATGTTTTAAATCCCTCCACCACTCCTCTGGGCATCCTGTTCCAGTGCTTGACAGCCCTTTGGGTGAAGATGTTTTTCCAAAGGGGCGTTGGGCTGGGAAGCAGGAGGAATGTGGGCAGCAGCACTCTTGGTACTAGAGAGGGTGGTCCTAAGTGCTTGGCCCCCCCAGCAGAGCCTGGCAGTGGGCATTCACTTGGCTTGCAGGAGTGGGAGTTTAGGGGCTCTCGGGGAGCAGCAGCACAGCACTGGGACATAGCTGCTGGTCCCAGATGTGCGGGTGTGCAAAGGGACTATGGGATCATAGCACCATAGAATAGTTCGGGTTGGAAAGGACCTTTCCAAGGATTATCCAGTTCCAACCCCCCTGCCATGGGCAGGGACACCTCACACTAAACCATCTCACCCAAGGCTTCGTCCAACTTGGCCTTGAACACTGCCAGGGATGGAGCATTCGCAACCTCCCTGGGCAACCCATTCCAGTGCCTCAGCACCCTAACAGGAAAAAATTCCCTTCTTATGTCCAATCTAAACTTCTGTTTGTTTGAACCCATCACCCCTTGTCCTGTCACTGCAGTCCCTAATGAAGAGTCCCTCCCCAGCATCCCTATAGGCCCCTTCAGACACTGGAAGCTGCTCTGAGGTCTCCACGCAGCTTCTCTTCTCCAGGCTGAACAGCCCCAACTTTCTCAGCCCGTCTTCCTGTGTTGCAAGAGCAGAAAGCGCTGCAGGGCGCGTGAAGGAAACCGAAAATGAAAGTTCCTTGCACATGACAGCCGCAGTTGAACCTGCCGTTTCCGAAGGGCTCTCCAGGCAGCAGTGTGGAGGAGCCGTGAGGCAGTCACTGCTGCTGCGCCGGGCTCTGCTCACCACGCTCCCTTTGTACATCAGCAATTCCCAGTTAGAGCCGGGCTCATGCGAAGCGTGGCTGGTACGGACCCTACTGCAACAGCTCCAGGGGCAGCCGAGCTCCTTGGCTGGCCCTGTCCGCATCCTCGCCAGCACTGAGCACGGCCTCCGGGGAGGACGGGGGCTTTGGTTACCCACAAACACGACCCCGAGCGCGGCCGTGGCTCCCCTCGCGAGGCACCAAGGCGGGCTGCGGATGGAGCCTTGCCGAGTGCCCGAGCAGGGCTGGGGATAGCAGGAGGCAGCGCGGGAGGGTTTCCTCTGTGGAGGAGGGGACGGAGGCACGTGCATCCGCTCAGAGCACTCGCTGAGCTGCCTCCACCGCGTCCCAGTGCCGAGCGGAGCAAGGAGAGGAGCAGCTCTGAGCGCGGGGCTGGGTGAGTGGGAGCCAGCCTCGTCCTGGCTTTACTCTCAAGTGACGACCCTCGTCGGGGATGGGGATGGTTGAGGTTGGGGAGGAAAAGGGGATTCCTGTCCTCGGAGGGATGTAGGAAAAACGCAGCGTCTCCATCTGTGCGTGGCTGCGGCTGGGGCTCCCTGGATGCAGCTACTCAAATACACGGTGGCCTTCCACAAAGCGATGAGCTTTACGCTTCCAGGCCCCCTTCCCACCTCGGCTGCCGGCCGTACTTCCCAGTGCTGCTTCTGGGCTCAATCTCTGTTTCCTGATGATGATCTTCAGTGTGAGGTTGTAAGTACAGACCATGCGCTGCGCCCCTAACTCTGGCGCAGGTGGTTATTTATCCATAACCAGCACTGCTTTTGGTTTTGCCTGGGATACAGTTGAGATTCCAGGGTCTCAACGTGTCTTCGTGGCTTTAGATCTGGTGCGAATCAGAACCCCCCCACCGGTTCAGCCTGGGAGCAGCCTGAACAAGTACTGGCATGCTGCGAGCTGCAGTGATCTCTTCCGCCCTGACCGCAGCTGCGGGGCCCCACTTCCTCCTCTCTCAAAAGCAGGGGTGAGGACAGTGTGATGAACTGCATCGGCAGGTCTGGGCTTAGGGTACCTGGGAAGTTCGGGGGCAACGTGAGCTGTGCATGTGGTTCTTGTTATTCTGAGAGGAGCTCAGAGTCAGAACATAGAGAACAGGTGGGACTGGAGCCTCTGGATATAGGAAAACCGGAGCTCATCCCTTGTGGAGGTTTGTCATGGCAGGTCACTGTGGCCACACATTGGTTTGCTCCTGCTGCGCTCCGAGCTGTCGTAGCTGCATTCAGGCAGCAGCAAAGCACCCAGGGTCAGCTCTAGCACCTTCTCCTGGTGGAAACAGGGAGCCGAGGAGCCCTTTGTGCTGGGATCTTTGCTTTCATCCCATCCTGAAGCTGCTGCTGTGGTCCAGGCTGAGCAAGGGCCCATGGCACTTGCTGAGCGGGCCAGCAGGTTTCCAGAGAGGATGAGGAGGTGAAGTGGGGCAGGGAGCTGGGTGACTTTCCTCATCTGGCGTGTGACTGTCTGCAAACACGTTAGTAAGGAGAGTCAGGAAGAGAGGAGAAATCCAGCCAAGGGGCCTGGTGTGGGAGGAGCCAGGTTGCTGGCAGATAAAAGCAGGGACCATTGCTCCTCCAAGCACTTGCCTATGCCAAGGGGCAAGTATGTTATGTGTTTGAGCCCAGTGGGCAGGCATGAGGGAGCCAGGGGCCGTGCTGGCTGCTCATCACCCGGGTCACTTACTGTCTGTCATCATTGTTCCAGGTAAAGCCAAGACACCCGAGCATCTCTGCAATGGCCTCAGGGAATGATGGTGACCCGCTGAGGGACTGGGGGCGGAGGGGAAGCAACAGGCAGAGGCCGTCACAGGAGCTCAACTCAGGTAAAAAGGTTGCTGTGATTCCCTTCCCCTGCAGTGTTTCTTTGGAAAGATGGGGGTTTTCATACTGCCAGGGCCCTTTGCAAGACCGAGGTACCACATCAGCTCCGTAAAGCTATGCTGGACTGAACTGGGAGAGCACATTCTCAGTGCTTGCAGAAGATGCTTGGCATTGGATCAGCGTGGTGGGCAGCAAGAGGGGCTTGAAAGGCACCGAGCAAATAGGGCTCAGGGAGCTGTGGGGCTGGTGCCTGGAGTCGTTCACTTTCCCTTCCCTAAGGGAAAGGTGCTGGGTGTTGAAAACACAGCAGGAAACGCTCCTGCTCTTGTAGCTGGGTTCAGTGGTGCCGCAGGGTGGAATCGGGTCGCTGGGTGCCCTGGCAGAGCGGTGATGAACAGTTACAGCCCACCAGCAGCAGCAGCTCAGGCCATCACGTGTGTGCAGAGCCCAGCAGACTGTGTAATTGCGTCTCCCAGCAATGGGTGAAACCGGGATCAGGGCCGAAAGGATGCCAGGGAAAACCTCAGCTCCCATTTCAGCTCCAAGTGCTAAAATGCCGCTGCACAGAGCTGCTGGACGCGGGTGACTTCTTAACCTGTTCTGCAGGTGGACTTGTAAATAAGGCTGAGTCACTGCAGTCTGTCAATAGTGGAGATTAGACACTATCCCTGGCTGTTATGTATCTGAGCTCAGATCCAGCTCAGAGCTGGTTTATGGCCCTGATAACGTTATTTAGACTCTGGCACTGCCTGGACTCCTCTCCATCTCACAGTTTCGTTCGTGCTAGATCCTGCACAAGCACACTGGACACAAAAATACCCCTTTCCTTCCACGCCAGCGGCTGCGAGGAATGGAAATAAATAGAGCCGCTGTTTACGTATGGTGATTTCCTGTTGAGGCCAGTGAGATGCTGATGTGAAAACCAGTGAGAGGATCGGGCCTGAGCTCTAACCACACTGGTTTACAGTCACACTTCCTGTGCGCTTGCAACACTTACTGGAAGTACGGGCATCCCGCTGCTTCCCGAAAGTCAGGTGCTCCGTCTGGAATCCGGAGGTGGGATCTCTGCACACCTCCTAGGCCAGAGCCTTATGGACTCCATTGAGAGCAGAAACGTGCAGCTTCCACCAACACGTGCCATGGGGTTATGGGGCAGAAGAAGGCTTTTGTCAACAGGCATTAACCTGGCTTGCACTTAGGGCTCGCTTGCTCCCTTTGTTTATCCTCGGGTGCAGTAGGGAGTGCAGAGCTCAAGGATCTGCTTGAGCATCGTTCTGAGCCCTTGTCCTACCAGCCAGGGCTTAGGGCATGGGCAAGGTGCTGCTGTTTCTGTCTAGGCTTTGGTGGTTTTAGGGCATTGTGGACAAAGGCAGGAGCCACGCTGATGCGCAGTGTGCAGGGCCAGGTTACTGGGGCTCTGTCGTCTGTGTGTGTTAGTACTCATGTAAGGTTCCTAGAGAGGCGTGAGGTTTGGTCCTTGGTTGTTTGTCATAGCTCTGGACCTGGTATTGCATGTGAAGCAAGTCCTCACTGATGAAGAGTCACTGAGGGACATTAGTTCTGCATCTGTGAGCATCAACGTGTCTTCATCACCAGAACGACCTGCAGAATGAGTAGGAAAAACGTGAGCTGCCTGTTTAAGCCTGGGTTCTCGTACATTCTGTAGAGCAACCACAGTCAGTCAAACATACTTCTGTCTGGTGCCCAGCAGATCCTATCTCCAGCACAGGCACAGAGCATTGGACTTCCCACTGAACTGCATCACCATATACCTGGTTTCCCAGGGCTGTGCTGGATAACAACGCTATAGAATCACCTCATGGCTCCTTTGTTCTGGCCTGCAAAGGACGCCCCAAAAGCTCTTTCATAAAACACCTGATGGGGCAGAGGGAGCTCGATCTCCAGGTTTGAGGTGCCCATCCCTCCGAGCATCCGCTGGATGCAGGTCAGTGGATGCGCACGCGTGGGACATGGCTCAGCTTGGGCAGCAAAGTGCCGGAGCAACACCACGCACCTCTGCTCTCAGGTGTGAGCTGTGCAGGACTGTGCCTGTGTGCAGCGTGAGGCTGATGAGCCTCTGGTGCTGATGGCATCGCTGTTGACAGGCAAGCGGATTCACAGGGGTGGAAGGGAACCCAAATCCACTAACACAGACAGAGCTCATCCCGCACTTGAATTGCAACTGCAGGAGGTGGAGTCGAGCTTCCCCTCAAGGCAGAAATCTCCAGAGCCTGTTCTTGGTTCCCTGGAGCTGTTTTCTCCCTTTGGAGCCTGTTGCTGCTTCCAGGCTTGATGTCTCCCTCTGTGCAAACAGATGCACCTCTCGGCGTAGTTACTGCCTGTCTCCTGAGCTCGAAAGGGATGCTGCCAGGTTGCATCTGTCATTATTACAGTCTCTAGCAGGGCTATTCAGTTGTAACGAGGTCTGATGGATAACTTTGGTGAGAGCTGCCAGGTTTTACTGCAACACAGCTGCTCCCCGGGACATGGGAATGGTGAGAAGCAAAGGATCTTGCACAGGAGTGCAGATGCTGCATGTCGGAGACTGGCTGGGGTCCAGTCAGTGCTACGGGTCCAGGCAGGAGCTCTTGGGGTGGGTCAGGTCTACATGCTGACAGTGGGGACAGCGGCATCACTGCTCCATGGGGCAGGAACAGGGCAGGTTGTCCCTTGCACAGCAGCTTGTGAGCCCCTAACACAGCCCTGAGGGTCCCCCAGGGAGAGCCAAGATCCCAGAGGGGCTCCAGACTGCTCCCCCTCCTTCCACTGCTGGTACTGGGAGTCCCCAGGGCAAGTTTTGGTCCAGATCCTCTTCCTTTGAGTGGGAGAGACAGAGCCCCAGTGGGTGCTGAGGCGGGGGGGGTGTCAAGGATGCGTTCTCTTGTCCCTGTGTTACTAAAAGCAGTGCCTGAGGTAATCAAAGCAGGGGGTTTTTGGTACCCTCATTTCCTCTTTGTTCTCACAGTGTTTGCACAGCCTCTCACTGAAACTGTGACTCAGTCGGTTTCGTTTCTGGCTCTCGGTGCCGTCACCGGCTCCAGTCTGAGGTGGGATTTATTTACCACCAAATAAACCCATGCCTGCAAAACAAAAACCATCTCCTGAAAACACCGGGGCTCCTCGATCCCCCTCACCTTTATTTACCCAACCTGAACTCCCTGTAACCTGAGTCTCGGCACCACAGCTCCGGTCCTCTCCCTTCCCCACACCCCATCCGGGGCTGGGCCCATTCCTCCCTGGAGCCACGTGGATGTGAGCAGCCAGGAAAACCCTGCCTTGAGCAGTGTGGCACATTCTGGGATACAGGGGTTTATTGGGCAGCATCACCAGGACAGCTGTGTCCTCACATCCCAGCCATAGGACGTGGCTCGGGCAGGAGCATCTCTGCATTGGAAATGCAATTCCCAGTGGCCAGAGAATGGCCTGGCCAGTCTGGTGGGTGGATGCAGTGGGATGGTGGTCACATACCTGGGCTTTGCACCTCATATAGTGCCTGTGGATCTCTGTCCTGCATGGTGATACAGCCAAAGGAGCGGGGATCTGATCCCTCCACACCATTTCTGTCCGCTGCAAGTTTTGCCTCCTGAAAGAGAACCAGGGGAGAGCCGTGCGACCGCCGGCTGTTTGGGAACCAGTGCTCTAACCCAGATTGCTTCCAGCCAGCTGAAAGTGAGCTCTAATCAAAGACATCCCGTGACAGAGCGGGTGCTTTCCCCAGGAGCAATGCAACGCCTGTGATAAGGTATCGGCCACTGCTGGGATGCAGCTTGAGGCGTTATCACCTGGCCGTTCATCTGCTCTCAAGCACAGCATGGGGAGTCACATCCCTGGGCAAGAGTTTATGGGTTATTCAGAAGCTCTTCTCCTTTCTGTTCCTGCCAGCAGCCCAAGCAGAAGTTCAAACCCTGCCCTGGCATCGCTGCTGCTGGGAATGTGAGACTGGTGATGTGCAATTGAATCAGCAAGGAGTTACACTAAAACAACCCGTTTAGCTTTGCTCCCCGCATCACTGCTGGCGCCGTGCAAGGGCTCGGTCATTGGTGACACTGAAAAACAAGTTTGTGTGCTGAGATGGGCAGCACTAAGCTGAGCTTGGCCTCCAGTTTGGGTTTGGATCTGAGATTCCTGAACTGGTTTGTGCTGAGCAGTGCCCTTATCGAGAGGTAAAAGCACCCTGGCAAGCACAAGCACTTGAACATCTGGTTTGTGTGACAGTTCTGTAGCTGTCTCCTGCCAGAAATGCATTCCAAAGGTGGGCTTGTGCCCCCAAGAACAACAGCTGGCTGCAGAACTGGTTTTCTGAGAACTAAGTTTTGTTGGATTCTTTTTGTGTCACTCCAAAAGGCCAATGTTAATGCAAAGAGCACAAGTTTAGGCTGAAAATAAGGGAATGGTCTCTTTCCAGCTTGGGAAAGGAGGGAGACGAGCTTCTCCCTCGACTTCTTTGGAGGTTGGAACTAGATGATCTTGAGGTGCTTTCCAACCCTAACCCGATTCTCCTCTTGTCTCCCAGAGGACCAGGTGGCTGAGGAGACGGAGGAGGTGTTCCGGAGCTATGCCTACTACCGCTACGAGCAGGAGAGAGAGGAGCGAGGGGAAGAGGTGCCCGTGGACCAGGAGATCATGGACATCGAGGAGGAGCTGGGCAGGTAAAACCGATCCCAACCATGTGCCCATCCTTTAACCCCATCCCAGCTCTGTGACAGACCCCCCCCCCCAGCCCCGGCCTCGCTGACCTGTCTGTGTTCCCCTGGGCAGCATCGGGAGCCAGGTGGGACAGCGCTTGGCCATCATAGGCGACGACATCAACAAGCGGTACGACGCGGAGTTCCGCTGCCTGCTGAAGTCCCTGCAGCCCACCAAGGAGAACGCCTACGAGTGCTTCACCCGAATAGCCTCCAGGTAAGGCCCCCGGCTCCCTCAGCCCGGGCTGGGCACCTCCTCCTGGAGAGGAGCAGGAAGGGAAGGTCAGACGGATGCAGTGCAGGCAGTGAGAGCCTTGCGCTGTGCTCTGCACCCTGTCCATTCGAGCCTTGCCCGCTGTGCCCGGGCTGAGCTCCCAACCCACGAGGGTTCCTGTGGTTCCTGCCTCTCTGCTCCTCCTCCTGTGCACCATTTGGACAGTCCTCACCTGCCCATCGTCTGACACAGTCTGGGGGATGTGCCTGGGATGCACAGCCCATGCATCAGTAGCCAAGTGAATGGCCCGGCTCCCCCGCAGGGGGGGACCTGCCCTGGACCAAGGCAGACCCACCGGTGCTCCCACTGCCGCTTGCAGCCCTGGGCCAGGCCCGATGAGGCACAGAGCAAAGGCAGCTGCAGGCTGCGGGCACAGGCAGGTACTCACTGCCCTTGGCATGGTCCACACGGAGCAGGATTGGACTCACTCGGGATGAGGGATGCTCCACAGGCTCCGCAGCCGCCCTGCACAGGTGATGCTCACCCACCTCACTCAAACACAGCACAGGCAAAGACCTGCACAATTATTGCCTTGGTTGCCTGAGGTACAGCCTTGGACCGAGGTGGCCATCAAGGGGTTCCCTACACCCCTGTCTCTGTAGGGAAGACAAGACACTGCACATTAAACCGTGTGCCCAGGGTCACGCAGACCAAACCGCCTCTGCCAGAGCCAGGGTTGGCGCTGGGCTCTCTGGGTTCCCAGGTCCTCTGGCACAGCCCCATCCCTGCGCACCCTTGTGTTTGTGTCTAACTGCCTCTCTCTGTCCTCTTCCTGCTCCCTGTCCTTGGGAAGCCGCTGCTGCTCTCACCGCTTTGCCAGCCTGAGGCGGTTAAGGCACCGCAAACAGGTAAATTACCCCTGGGAATTAACCTCTGTCCCTCTCTGTGCTTCTCTTGTCCCCTCCGGGCTCCGGCTCCCCTCTCTGCCACCTGCACGTGGCATCTCCACACCAAGGCTCTGCAGAGATGGTTCCCTTTGGCTGTGCAGACGAGGACAGGGCACCACGTTAACACACAGGGCCTGAGCCTACTCCTTCTGTTCCGTTTGCTTTCCTTCGTGCTTGACTTGCTGGAAACCAGGAAACACGCCTGCAAAAACTGGTCCAGATAACTCAGTGCCCAACCTGCCCGCAGCAATGCATCTGTGCCCGCCACAACCAAAACCTGCATCGGGAGCAGGCACATTTCGGAGCCCCCCCCCAGCCCTTGGGATAATCAGTCTAAGGAAAGGTCAGGCTTTGGTCTTGGAGGAGTTTGAGGAGGAAGAGGGAAAGTCTTGCTCTAACATGCTTTGTCCTCAGGTATAATTAAACCTCCTTACCTCCAGGTATGACCGCACAAGCCAAGGATGCTTTGGGACCCATGGGTAGTATCCTGCTCCTGGCCACACGTGTATCAGCTACTGAGCTCGCTGCAGCTACAGCCCGACAGCTTAAACCACCACCAGTTTCATCTTCCCTTGTTAATAGCCTTGCCCATGAGACCAGGGGACATCCGGGCAGCTGCAATGCTCTGTGTTTAGATGCCGACCCAAGGGAAAGGCAGGAAGGCGGCAGGATTTGGAAACTCCTTTTGCCCAGGACATCCCCAACCTGCCCAGCTGAGGCAAACAGTGGTTGTGAACGAGGCTGTGCTTGTTCTGCTCTGAAAGTAAAACCTGGTTGCGGGTGGCCGCACGTCCCTTAGCCACAAAATCACTGTGAGCGGCTGCGATGCAGCTCGAGGGGTGGAGCAGCATCCCCAGCCCTGCTCTGGGAGCATCACCACCTGAGAGCCCTCATCCTGGGGGATGCTGAGAGCAGGGAGGCCCGAGCCACGGCAGGGGTTGACTCAGACCATCGGCTTCCTTGCAGCTTGTTCGAGAGCGGCATTAACTGGGGCCGGGTGATCGCGCTGCTGGGCTTTGGCTACCGCATGGCCATCCACGTCTACCAGCAAGGCAGGACCGGCTTCCTGCGCTGGATCGCCCGCTGCGTCGTGGAGTTCATGCTCCGGAACCGCATCGCCCGGTGGATCGCCCAGCAGGGAGGATGGGTGAGGATGGGGCCGGTGGGATTCATGGGGAAGGTGGGGGACCACGGGGTGACCATGGTGGGTCTAACGTGCTCTGGTTATGCTCTGTTTCCCCTTAGGCGGCTGCACTCGATCTGGACAATGTTTACATGAAGTACATGCTGGTGGTGGTGGCCCTGGTCATGGTGGGACATTTAGTGGTACGACGCTTCTTCAAGCCCTAACCGAGGTGGTGGCAGAGGCTGGGGGGGGGTCTGGCCAAGCTCTCTCAAATCTCTGCTCTTCATTGATCTTCCTCAAGAGAGGGGGGGATTTGAGGAACCTCCAAGAGAGAGCAGCTTGGACCTGAGACCCACCACAGGGCCCAGGGTCTCTGCCATCCATGCAGACACCACCAGGAACTATGGAGAGAAGCAGAGGGAGGGAGGGAGGGAGGGAAGGTTCAACTCTGTTGCCTGTTGCGTGCCTCACTCAGCTGCTGTGGACAGAGCATCGCTGCGGCGCTCCCCACGTGGGGCAGGGAGGCAGAGCCGGCTCCTCTGGAGACAGGAGTGTGGAGGAGCAAAGGTGTTGTGGGGATGCCCACACGTGGGCCCCGTCTGCTCCTTGGGGCAGGCGTGGAGCTCCCCGTTTGCTGATGGCTCTCCTCAAGCCCATGCCTTTGAAGAGGGGTTGCAGCCTTGGGTGCTGCAGTTGCTGTCTGTAGAGGCACCGGAGGGGCAAGCCAGCATGAGCACATGTGGGGCTTGCTTTCGTCTTCCCTCTGTTCCTGAGCCCAACTACTTGAGCCTTCCCTTTCAACAAGCATCCCTACCCCTTTTAAAGGACCGCACTGCCTGCTCTGACAATCCACGGCAGTGCTGGCGGGCAGGATTCCCCTTCCAACGCCTGACCCTGGAGACCTGCTGCTCTCCCATGGCTGATGTGGGTGCTGGGTGCTCAGAGCTGGGGAGCACCAGCAGGTTTCCAAACACTAAAGGCCTTGGGGCGGCTGATGGTTGGTGCGGGCAGGCTGCCTGCCCTCCCTGCCCTTCTGCTTCCACTCAGTAGCTTCAGATGCTGGCAGATGAGCAGCCCAACTGTGACCAGTTGGTCTCCCTTGTTCCCAATGGGAGCCCTGGAGTTGCATCACCCCCCTACAGCAGCTCTTTGCCTCCTGAGCTCAGCTGGGCAGGATGGTGCAGATGTGCTGCGGTTGAGCCCAGGGCTGTGGTGCTTTAGAGCTGCTTCTTCTGGGCACAGCATCTTTGGGAAGTGCCTTGACCTTGTTCTGTTCATGACTAATGGTTAAACATGACTTTGGGGGAGTGGGGCAGGAGCAGGACCCACTCTCGCACCTCAAACCTTTCTGACTTTTACAAACTATGGAGAGTACCTCAGCATGGTTTAGCTCTGTTCTTTTTACCAGGTGACTCTAAGGCTTGAAACTGTGATGGCCCCTTCTGAGCCAAACTCACCCCTCCATCTCCTAGAGCGGGTCAGCAGCTGGGGGGGGGGAGACGGAGGGACTGGAGCTAGGAGGTGAGCAGTGGTCCCGTACCCAGGCTCCTCTCCCAGTGCAGTCAGAGCCCCAGAGACTGGGCACACCGAGAGAGCCCAAGGGGGTCAGATCTTGAGAGCAGCCCATCTGCCACATAGGAAAGGCACTCCTGGCAGACAGCTGCCTAACCTGCTCCTAACCCCCCCTGCATTGCCTCCCCACCACTTCCTACCTTAACCTTTAGGTGAGGTTTCCCCTCCACGCCTTGCTGCAGTTGAAGCTTGTTACTACACATCCTGTCCAAGCACAGAGACAGCGTCCCTCGCATCCCTTCTTGCTGCTGCAGAGCCTTAGCAGGACCAGCCACAACATTATAACACTTACATCCCTCGTGTTCCTGCCTCCCTTCACGGAACAGGGAACTTCTGAGCCTGTTTCCATATCAGGGTCTTTCTGTGCTTGTCATTTTGACCCTGTTTCTGCATTATCCCTTTCCCTGGGCTGTGCTTCATAGAAAGGCATTAAAATACTTGCTATAATATTCCTTTTCTATAGAGCTCTCTTTTGGTTGATTCTTCACCCGTGCTGAGCAGCACAGATCTCCACTGGTCTGTCCATGCTGGTTTGTGGCCATGCTGACTCCCTTGGAGCACCACTGTCCCCTTCGCCTTCATCCACACACGACTTCATTTACCCCCTGTTCACCCACCTTGAGAGTCCTCAACCCCCTTCTCTGGTAGGAGCCAAAGTAACCAAGTGCTCTCAGCTGCAGCTCCCCATCCCCGCTCCTTCCCTTCTCTTCTGGGGGGAAAACACCACCAGATGGAGCCTTTTTGCCACGATGAAAGCCAACTTCTTGCTGTTGGTTTCCCTTTCTCTTCATCAGCCCCATTACTGACAGTCCTGGCCTCTAGGCTGGTTCTCTGGTCCGTTGTGCCTCCAGCAGGACTCCTTCAGAGGACAGCAACCAGCACATCAGCTTCCATTCACTACTTCACCCTCCCAGAACTCTAACGGGCTGAGAGAACTTGTGCTTGCACACAGAGCCGTGCTGCTTCGAATTGATTCTCATCTTCCACATTAAAGTGTTTCACTGCAAGCCCCATTCAGCTGCGAGGCCAGCAGACTTTACAGAACGTTTGTCGGCTTTATAGTAGGTGCTGAAGCCTTAGTGGAGTCTGTGGCACCAGGACAGAGAATCGAACCTTTAAAACAGGTGCTGTAGCAAAGGGAAGTTCCCATTTGATCCGTTTTCTCAGGGAGGATTGTCTCAGGATCTCAGTCTATTGCCTCCCTCTGCTCTCGCCTCTCCCAGCCCTCCTGGCACTGCTTACAGCAGGGTGGGCTAAAGCAGACCCAGATGAGAGGCCTTGGCCCTCCCCAGGAGCTGATGCTCCAGAGCCACAGCAGGCATCTACCTCGAAGCCCCACTCAGCAGGTAGCACCGTGTCTGCGTGCAGAAGGCTTCTGCTGTGGGCCAGGAGCAGTGCTTCGTTATCTAGCAGCAAGAGCTCTAGATAAAACTACATCCTTAGGGTAACCCCAGCCTCCCCTTACAGGGCTGAATCAGCCACTTTATTCTGCAGGGATAAAGCCCTGATTGACTGCGATATTCTTCACAAGTGTGAACTTTTTAACCACCAACCCAGCCCTGTGTCATGTGGGATGCAGGGACAGCATCCTCCAGCCTAGTGACTGCCCCGGGGCTTTGGCTTTTGCCCTGGTGAGCAAGGGAAGTGGGACTGGGAAGCCCTCAAGGGGAAAACCAAGGTGAAGGCGAGGAAGAGGCTCTGCCCTGGCTGTTTAGCAGGAGGGGATTGCTCAGTGCATCACTTGGTTTCACACAGCCCCTTCCCCAGCTCCTTTCTCCATCCCTCCAGGAAGCCCCAGCACTGGAGGAAGGGGATGGGGTGTGTGATGGAGCAATAGAGCTTTGCACTGACTGTGGAGGGGAGGGACTGGAAAACACCTTTTCTTTCCAGGAGGAGGACAGGAGGAGTTGTCCCAGTAGCAGCAGAGAAATGGGGAACACTCGGTCTGCAGGCCAGCCTTTCCCCAGTGCAGGGCATCTCTAAATGGCAGGCAAAGAGGCTGTGAGGAACATGGTGGGTTGCTTTAAAATAAAACCATTTCTCTCACATCCGTTCTGTTTTAAATGATGTAATATATATACATGTGAAAATAAAAATGGTACCTGCAGTACAAACCTGGCTGCGCCGAGGGTTTTCTTCCAGAGGCTGTGCTCCTTTGCAGGGTGCTCTGGGTGCGTTATAGATCCCCCTGTGCAAGCTTGCACAAGCTATTTGGCCTCAGTTGCCCATTAGCTGAGGGATACCAGCCCTTCCTACACTTCCTCTAGGACGAAGAGCTAGACAGGGAGAGGAATGAGCTGCTGCAGCTTGTTTTGCCATCCCTGACAAACAGGGGATGCGTTACAGCAGCTGCTGCAGAGATGAAGAAGAGACTCTGTAGTGATCTGTGGCCGGATCAACCTGCCAGGAGTTAAGGATCTTATCTGTGATGTGTCCACACCTCCCTAACGGGAAACAATGAGGACAGGAAACTGCAAAGGGGAAATCCATTACAGGAGTACAAGAGGGTTCTCAGGTGCCATAAAACACTCCAGCAAATGAAAGGGAAACTCATGTCCTCCATCAGAAAAGCCCAACACGTCCAAGGCTGTGTTGGGGTGAGAGCAACAGCTCCCGCTGGCTGACAGCATCGCCAACACAGGGAGGTGCGAACCTGGGGTCCTGCAGCAGCCGCTGCCCTGAGCTGCCTGTCCCAAACCCAGCCCAGATGCTCCTCAGGCCCTGCTGCTTCCAGCCGCTCCCTTGTCACACACCAAGGCAGGGCACGAGCTGGCCCCACACTGCCCTTCTCTCTTGCAGGGCTCTGCTTTGCTCAGGGCCAAACCTCGCTGCTCCCCTGATGGCTCACCCCTTGCAGGACCAGTCCGGACCCCAGCTCTGCTCCTAGCGGCACCAGTGAAGCTCCAGCAGTGGCTGCAATGGGTGGAAAGGCAGTGATGGGAGGGGCAGGATGCTTTAACACCGCGGGTAGGCTGTGCCCTCTTAATGAGCACACTCCCTATAATGAGCACAGCCTATGAGCTAATGATGCCCCAGTCATCACCTGCAGCTGCCTCTGCTGGTACCTTCCCCTTTCCAGCCTGGCTGCTGGGATGGCTGGGACCAGAAGGGCTTGAATACCACAGAATTAGCCCTGGGGAATGTGTTTGGGAGTGTTTGCCGGAGAAGGCGAGGAGCTGGAGGCTCTGGTTATAAATTGCTGTAGAAAGAGGGGCTCAGGCTTTCCACACCATCAGCCAGTAGCAGATTAAGCGTCGGAATCTACATCAATATTTACCCTCCAGCTCTGGTCTCTATAAACAGCCGTGTGTCACAGCTGCCACTTGGTGCTTGGGATCACTGCAGTGGGATTCCAGCGAGGCAGGAGTGCTTCCTGCACACAGGCACGAGCTGCTGAGGCTCTGTCCCTGCCTCTCTGTGCAAGGAGAGGTTAAACCTTAACACAAGGCAAACGTCCCTAACGACAGCACCGGCTGCTCCTGTAATTCACTTTGTGTCCTGCCCCAAAACCACACCAAGCTCCTAATTAAAGTACCAAGAGAATTATTAAGGCCACAACAGTATTGAAGGATTTGCCTTTGGCCATTCAAATAGAACCAACCCTAAAGCAGAACCCAAGATGCGGCAGCGATCTAGGTCTAGATCTGGTATTGGAGACAAGGACCTGGGTCAGGCTTGGCAGCACCCTGAGTTTTGTGGAAGTAAAGGTTTTCCAGCTGATTTCCAGGGTGTGAAATGAGAGTGGGCAGGAAGCAGCTGGGAAATCCCACTTGTGTTCATCATCTTCATCCTTAAAACAAAAGCCCTCTGCTCTGGGCTCGTTCCCTTCCCTCAGCATGTGCTGGAGCATCCTCAGCCTCTGGCTGGGATTCAGGGGCACACTCCTCCCAAGGGATCCATTCATCTCACACAACATTTCTACCACTGATAGCGGGGATTGCACGCAGGACCCGGCTGCACTGACACAATGAATTGAAGGAAACGGACTTTGCTCTCGCAGTGAAAGGGGAACACGTGCAGCAGTAACAACCCAACGTTGCCATGACCTGGCACCAGCAGAAGGGCCTTGGGCAGTGCTGTGAGAGCAGCTCGCAGCAAACACTTCACTGCACCAGCATTCCTTTCCACCCTGTGCATCCGCAGCCAGAGATGCTGAATCTTCTCCAATTCATTCCTTATTCCCAGCTCTCCCCGACTTTCCATGAGTTGTCGTGGGCAAAGTCAAGAGAAGACAACCCCAAAAGCATGCCTATCCATTCACCCATGGGCTGAGAAGAGCTGATTCCAGCACACAGGACTCTTCTGGCTCTGCTTCCCTGCTCATACAGCTTTCTGGACCAAAGCTGGAGCCTGTCCAGATATCAAGAGCTCTGGCAAAGCGATTTCATGTCTGCACTCAATATAGCATTTAGACATACCCTTATCCTCAGGTGGCTGTGGGGAATACTGCAGTAATTCAATGCCCTTGGCTGGAGCTCTGTTGTAAAGGAGGAACCTCTTGTATTAAAGTCAGAAGACCTGATTCAGCATAATGCAAGCGATAAATCCTGTTTTCTACTTACACGGGTCCACGAAGGAAACCAAACCATAACTCTGTCTTTATACAAGTTGTATTTCTAACTCAGAGCTCCCTCTCTGAAGAAGAGCCCTCACACTTGCTTGAACCATGTCTCTGCCCATCAGCTTGGTCACCAACACAGCCAAGGGAAGTGCCTTGGCATTTACCATGTGCTGATTGTGCTCACCTACGGGATTTACACACTCATTTGGGTGGTTTGGTTCTACTTTGAAGACTGAAACTGGACAAGCTCTATATGGCTCAGATGAGAGCTCTCTGAGAGCAGCACAAGGTGCTTCACAGCCCTCTTTTCCTTGTGATCCTGCAAAAAGCTGGACGATGACAATGCAGGAGGTGACCACGGCTCACCTGCACTGCCTTAAGACCAGAGCAATCCAACCACCCAGGCACCAAGCAGCAGGGCTTTGCCAAGGCAGGAGGGTAGCTTGCTAAGCAATGAGTCAGTTTTAGCAGCTGGCACATGTGAGGGAAAGGCAGACCCACAAACACTGGCACTTTATGGCTTCTTCAGACTTCAGAGCAATTCATAGATGCTCATTTTATTCTCCAGCAGTGTTGCTCCTGCTGCATCCCCATCTTTGCAGATGTTGCCAGGGGAAAATGCAGCCGAGCATCATCCCCAGCAGAAGCGTGGCGCTCCATCCCTTCTGCACCATGGAGCTGGCAGCTCCTCCGTGGCTGGATGGAGAGCACAGTCCTGCAGGAGCCTCTGCTGTGGCAAGGCTGTGTGACCGCCACTGCCAAGGGCGCTGCAAGAAGCACATTCACTTTCCTCACACATCTCTACACCTGGGGAAGAACACAGCAAAAGGACAGGCGTGTGATGACTCACAAACACCAGACTGGGGTTCTAAATCAGAACAACACCAAGGTTAGGGCCGTTAACTCAAGGAAATGTGCGCGCTTCAGAGCACAGAAATGAAAATGCCCACATCGGTCACATCTTCCAACTGTTGTGGTTTCTCTTCCTTTATTAAACCTTGGCTCTCCGCAGCGTCTTTACCTTGGCTTGGAACTCCCTGCGCTCCCTGGGTTCTTTCACCTTTTCACTTCCTATTTCTGTTAAGGCTGAAGAAAAACATGGTTTTTCTCTTCACAAAACCTACTCAAAGCACTGCTTTGATGCATTTTGACAGACTCACGATTCTCAGCAGAGGTATTTAGACTAAAAAGAATCAGTCACTGAAGCTTTCCCTCCTGGAAAAAAAAAAAAGGACATCTCCATTAAAAGAACAACAAACATCCTTTCATATAAGTTTCTTGGCCAATCTGATCTTGGGCTGAACTGTACAGGCAGGTTCAGATGCAATGGTGCTTCCTGGGTCTCATGAAAGCCTTGAGTTACTAAATCAGGGTGGAAATCTCCTTCCATGGAAAAGCCAAAATGCTCGTCCCTTTCTTCTTCATCATCACCATCAACAAAACCCTACAGGCTGCCTAATGCCTTCCGTAACTCCTGGGCAAAGCTTGCTTCCAGGTTTTATGCTTCCTGAACCCCGGGCAAGCCGAGGGCTTGCCAGACCCTCAAGGCTGGAAGTGCCCTTGGGAAGGACCCTGATGTCCTCTGGCTGCCAGCATTAGCAGGAGGGAAGGGACAGAGGAAAACCCCTCAGGCGGCCCGGAAGAATTACACTATCCCGCTGCAGGAACAAGAGGCATCCGGTCTAACGGAGCTCACCATTCACTGCCTGTTGCCGGTGCTTGTCTTCACTTCCCCAGTTCACTCTGAACCACCCTACTACAAAGGCTGGAAGTCCGCACCAGGGCAATTTAGGGCACATCAGCACATGAAAGTGAACTTGATTTAAGTGAGAGCATCACTTGAAACCGCAATAGCTTTTCTCAATTAACTCCGCGTGTAGGAAAGACCTTGGAACGCATTTTAAGCTGCTATATTAAGGCATTTTAAAGTCCTTTGTGAACACTATTATTCTGGCTCACTTTAAACCTTATGCCCCAATCTGACATTAATACAAGGGTTGCGATCATGCAAGCGCATAACCGAGCAGCTGAGTTGTGATACCACTTAACCCACTGCAATACAACACTCTGCCAGTGGCTTTGTGGCATTTCTGCAGCTTTCTTTTCCTGAGGCAAGAGCTGAGTCCTCTGGGACAAAGCTGCATCCCTCTGCACATCCCCAGGTACCATCCTCGCAGTGCCAAGAGCCCAGCACCGTGCCGTGCACACTGGCAGCAGTTACGTGCTCTGACTGCTATGTGCAGGTCAACAGAAGCACTCGCAAGTCCTCCAGCCAAGCAGGAATTACTGGTCACAGGAGCTGAAGGCCAAGTATGTAACATCACATTAGAGCTGGGCTGGGGCTGTGTGCGGCTCATTAAGGCGGCTCAGCTAAAGCGGTAATTCGTTAAGCCGCATGACTTAATTGCTTGCAATCATCTGCCTATCCCCACACTAAGATCCTCCTCGGAGGAAAGGAGGTGTTGGGCTGCGTCCGTTACAATTCCTTCTCTTGGCTACTGAGGTGCAGCTGATAAGGCCAAGCCATTCCCTCCCGGTTATCACAGGCAGGCAGCTCCGCACACCAGCCCTGCTGACAAACATGCTGGGAGAAGCCCCAGTGTCCAAAACAGACCTCAAAACTCAGCCCTGACCCTTCAGCTCCCAGCCGGCCACAAACACATCCCTTGGGATGCAGAGACCCGGTGGGAGCAGCGTGCGCACGGCTCCTCCCTGTGGTACAGGGGAATCAAAGGCTGAGCCCTCACAAGTTAAGGAGGCTTTTCGTCTCACAGCAGAGCTTGTTCCTGCGATTCACCATCATCAGGCAGGACCGAGAAAGGATGCTGTGCCGCGCAGAAGCACCAGCGCCCGCACCGCTCCGGAACACACCGAAAACCGGGCTTTAATCCCCCTAAAGATGTGGTTTTAAATTCCCTCTAGTGGAAAGAGGTGGAAATTGAAGCTGCAAAGTTCTTGCTCAACGAGCGATCCACATCCAAGCTGTGAGGGGCTCCGGGCTCTTGTGCTAGCCGGTACATCAGACACATAGGGGGAAACCAGCTGGAGACTCCAGCATCATGTCCTATTACCTGGAATTTTATTCCAACATAACTGGAAACTTTAAAAAACAGGCTTTTATTCATTAGGGAAAAAAATGAACGCTGATAACATTCATTTAGTATGAAAAGCCTGAACAAACCAGGCTTTTCATAGTCCAAAACTTAGATGTTTGACTCTGCAGGCCTGAGCTGCCCACAAGACAGAGACTGTCATGAGGGTTCCTCCCCAGCCAGCACCGGTCCATTGGGCTGCCCGGCCCTGCTCCTGTTCCTCCTCCCGTTCCCATTCCCACCACTGGCAGCCAAACCCGGACACCGTTACTGGTGTAAACCAGAGCAGCTCTGCTGGATGAGGAGCTCTGCAGATTTATGCCAGGAGCTGACCCCGCACCTCGATTTCCAAAACCAGGGCAGACTGAAATATGCGGGTTTTCAATCTCGTATTCAGGTTAACAGAGCCTTTATATTTGGGCAATTAATCTTGCACAGGCTGAGACCTCTTGGGACAACGTGCAAAGGTTGCTAAGGCAAGGAAAACAAACACAGTTGTGTAAGTCGGTCCTCCCATGTCTTTTCCCTCATGAAAACACAGTGCAGGGATGCACTGGATCTGAAACCCGGCAGTGATGTACTTTAATAACCAGAAGCACCAAGATGTAGTTTAGAAATGATTTTACTACGAGGTAGCATTACCTCATCCTGTGTTATTGTAGAATGATTCAAACCAGAAGTATTGAGACATGACCCTGGTAACAGGAAAACCAGTGCTGTGTTGGAGTGTGCGGTCACAAACAGAACATACCTCACCATGGGCACTGGTGTGTCTCTGTGCACATGCAAACTCTGGATCCCAGCACTGATCCCTGCTTGGTGCCACCAAAGACTCTTCCCAAACCTGATCCTCATCTTTCCAAGCTCCCTCTCTGCCTACAGCCCCATTGCTGCATCTCAGCTTTACCTAAGATGCCCTGTGGCAGATGCCATTTGGAACTGCAGACAGGGAGCTGTGCCGCATCTTCTCGCCTAGGAAGCAGATGTCCGCCCAGGCAATGGCACCCAGCCTGCTGTGATCCACTTAGGGCAAATCGCTCATGTATCATCCCATTTTAACATGCACCTTCATGCTTTCACTTATCCCTTTCTTTCCTTGAGTAGAACTGACACATGACTTTTAGGCCTGTAACTGTCCCTCTATTTTCTTCCTCTTTACATTTGCCATTCCCCAGCCTCACAAATTTACAGAGATCCTTGTGATTGGACCCTTAGTTTTTAATTCTTCCAGCATATTAGGCTCTAAAATAGGCTGGGAATACAGGTGCTACATGCCAAGAAGACCGGTTTGTGCTCAAGAGAAAGAAATACCACCAGCTAAAAGCTGTCAGCCTGCACTCTTCCTAACCGAGCTGCCCAAGCCTGGTAAAGACAACACTGCAGGTAGCTGCATGATGACCACTGCAGCAGGCAAGAGACTGACTGCGATGGAAAGATTCAGTCACACCGAGCAGCTGCATCGTTGCATGGCAGAAGTTTCCATCACAAACAGCAGCAGGCTCCGAGAGCATGCAGGTGGCTGCTATGTGATCCATGCGCTGCTGTTCCAAAGGGGCAGTTCCATAGCACGGGCTCACCTCTGCAGTAGCTGTGGGTTGATTGGTGCCACCTGAAAACCTGTCCCTTCACACCGGTTTTGGTTTTGTTTCTCCTCCCACAAAAGAATAATTTCCTTCGGAGCCCAATAAACCAGAAGGTCTCATTGGTTCTATGCTGTAACAGCAATACTGCATTCTGCTGGGAACCAGCAATTCTGCCTCTGGCTGTGAAATTCAGGTAATGACCCATAACTGAAGTAAATGAGTGTTTCATTTCCCATCCCTTGCAGACAGCTTACTAATGGAAATTGATTTCTAGCTTTTTTTCTCTTTCATTTAACACGCTTATATAACATCTTTATTTTGGATTCAAGCGGTTCCCAGTGACTTGTAGCCAAAAGGCTGGTGTGTGGACAAAAACCTGACCACATCTGGTTAATCCATGCTGTGCACCAGCGTGGCAGGGACAGCCTCCATGGATGGATCCTCAGGTGGGGATCAGCAGAGCTCGCATCCATGGGACACGCACAGAGGTCCTGATCTGTAGGCACAGTTACACCAGCACCATGTTCATTTGTAGGTGACACGCTGCATGCCCAGGCACCTACAAGGGTGCTCCTCTGTCCCTGCAGCCAAGCCACGAGCCCCACATGCCCCATCCCAGCAGTGTCTGGGTGCAAAAGGTCCTGCCCCCCCCTGTGGCTGCTCAACCACCCCTAGGTCCATGTTAATTCTTGCCAAATTGGGCTCTCTGGTGTAATCTGATCGAGCCGCGCACACACACACACACACAAACACACCCTTTTCCTGCTGTTTGGGTAAAACTCAGCCACAGTTTCTTCACTGGGCATCAGCAGCAGACACCAGCCTTGGATGAGCAACCCTCTGTCTGTGCAAAGGGAAGAAAGGCAGGAAGGCACGGTAAGGGTTTTCCCGTTAGGTTACAGGGAGGCAAAATGTGGGTTTATAAGAATGTTATTTCCAACCCTTCTGCAGCCCCTTGGGTCAGGCTGGCAACTGCAAGGGAGTTGGGAGGAGGGAAACACCTACTTTCACATTTTACTTTCCTGAAGTGCTATAGATGAAGCAGAACTCAGCTGGAGCCATTTTACAGTTTAAAAGCAGGACTAACAGCTATTATTTTTCTCAGTGTTGGGTTGATTTTCTGGTCCCATCGACACTTTAATAGCATCATAAATTGTCTGGTAAAGGAATTTTTAGTTAGAGATGGTGTCTGGGGTATTTGTTCCTTACTGATGTATAAATCGGCTTGTACTGCTGTTGGGTGTTTCTAAAGACGGATGATTTGTAGCATGATGATAATAATAATTAGCATAGGATATAGCAGTGTTAATTGTGAATTAAAATAGCAGAGATGCTTGTGCAGATCAGCCCTCTCCTGGTGCTCCCCATCTCTCTGACCACCAGCGCCAGGGACACTTCCCTGCGCAAAGGGGTTTTCTGTGCCTGCTCCTCTCTTCTTGCACTGCTAAACCCAGCCCTTCCCTTTGCTCAGGTGCATTGTGCACTTCTGCTGACAGCACAGAATGGCCAGGCTCCTGGAGAATCCCATGTGTTATCCCCCATGAATGCTAATTTGGGTTGCATTCTCTAACGGATCAAAAGGGAAGGTGACTATGGAGACCAGACAGAGGAGGACAGGAGCCTGGCAGGTTCGGAGCCTTGCAGAGAATAATGGCAGGGGAAGAGATGGGACAGAGAATGAAACGCTTATCACAGCTGCCTTGTGTGGGAGCATAATGTCATTATTGCAGTAAATGTTCCTTCCTTTGATGCAAGAGGAAAACCACGAGCAAATGATGAAACTACTTTTGTGCCTCAGCTCACCTGCTTCAGAGGCAAAACCCCCTCTCTGCCTGCCAGGGTTGCAGGGAGAAGTAAGCAAGGTCCATTGAGCTGTAAGGATGTTGGCTTGTTATAGACTTTAAAGTATAAATCCATGGTGAAAACAAGATGAAGTCAGAAGGGATGGGGTTTTCTGTGTGTGATCTGTCTGGGTTTTCCCATTGAGAATGCACACAGCTCTGCTGAGATGAGCACACGTTAAAGTTCATGTGCTGTCTGACTTAAGGAGGGATGATGGCAGGATCTGCACTCTTGTCTTCTAAGTATATAACCATCATAGCTGAACCCTGTCACACGGATATTGCCCTGAAATAGCAGGGGGAAACCACTCTGCTGGGCAGATCAAGGGGAAAAATGTAACCATGGCAGAAATAATTACCCTGTTTCAGAGATGAGGAGATGGGCAGAGGGCAGGCAGCAGCAGAGCTGAATGCAGTACTAAGTACCTTCTGCCTCAGAGACTGAAGTGGGATATGGACAGTTAGAGAAAACGCTGGAAAAATCAAAGTAGGGGAAAAACGTCCTTTTAAAGTGATAATCAATGATTGTTTTTAACTTACAGCAGGGAAAAGGCTACTTCAAGCCACCAAGGAAGGATGTGGGCTTATACTGTTGGTTTTACTGTCCTGCCTCATGTGGGAGGTTTGCTTGGCTGGTTCATGAGTCGAAAAGGAATACCAGTTTGGTATGAGAAACTGAAAAAGCCTTCCTGGTGTCCTCCCCTGAAAGTATTGCCTGTTGCCTGGACCGTCCTGTACACCGGCATGGGGTAAGTTCTGCGATCTGCTCCCTCTCCCATCCTGCTCTTGGTGACACACAGAAGCCAAATTCTGGGCTAGGTACCACAGGCAATGCTTATGTGCAAGGACAAAGCCCTTACTTGGCTTTGTAAACAGCTACTAAAGACAGTGCTGCCCTGGGGAACATGTAAGAGCCAGGTGGGTACAAGCGAGGGCCACGTGTGAACACCCTTGTCCTGCACATCCCTGCTGCCAAACAACCTCATGTGAAAAAACTTGGTCTGTATTAGAGATTTCCTCACTGCAAACCTCTAATGTGTTCCTCTGTTCACAGCTATGCCTCCTACCTCATATGGAATGACCTGGGTGGCTGCAACAGCAAAGCGGTCCTCCCGCTTGGCCTCTACGGGGCTCAGCTGGCCTTGAACTGGGCTTGGCCTCACTTATTCTTTAGGGCACATAACCTGAAGATGGTAACGTATGGGTCACCCATTGGAGGCCTGGCTGCTGGGGTCCCTGCCACAGGGCTGTGGGAGGGTTTTCTAACCACTTGTAAAGAAAGCCACAAGAAGAGCTTTTGCTCAGATGCGGTTCACGCTACACCTGGCTCTAGACAATGGTATCAGCCCCTTCCACCCCTCGCCCTGCTCATGCAGATAGCCCACCCAGCCAGGCACAGGGAGCAGTCAGCAACCCCTAGTTAAGGATTGGGGTGAGTGATAAGTCCTGCAGGGAGCCCCACCCTGTGCCAGCATCCCTGGGGTGTATTAGCAGTGAGCAGCTTATCGAGCAAACACAATGCGCTGTGCACTGCAGTCTATAGCAGGATGTGCACAAAGGTGAGGCACAGCTATACCAAAAAAAGCACTCACCTCAGGAGCCAAGGCCCAGGGGTGACAGAGGCACAGCATGGGATTTATGTTTCCATCTGAATTTTGTCACCCTGTGGATGTAAAGTACATTTGGAAAGTCTGTTCAGTGATAACAGCCATTGGTATTAACATAAACAAGGATGTGTCTGATGTGGCTGTGTGAGCAATACCAGCAGGAGGGACAGTGATCATCATTAACAGTCTATTAATCCACGGAACTTGATAATGAACATAAATTAACATCATTTTGGCTCCTGGTGTGACACATTCCAATCTCACAGGTTAGGGTTCAGAGCTAAAGCCCTAGGGTTTAGGATCGCTCTGGCTGACTTCTCACTGCCAAACCTCCCCCATTCCCATTCCATGTCCCCACCTCTGGTAGGATGGTGTGTAGTGGTGCTGGGGAAGGCTGCCCAGGGTGGGCACCAGCATCACGCTCATCTCTTTGATACAGGCACTGGTTGACATCCTCTGCTTGGACGTGCTGACCATAGGCACCATGTGCTCCTGGTACCGCATCAACAAGGTGGCGGCGCTGCTGCTGGTGCCGTATCTGGGCTGGCTGGCCATGGCCACCTGCCTCAGCATCCGCATCTGGAAGGACAACCCCGAGCAGAAATCAGGGAAGAGCGAATAAGAGCAGGACAGAAATGAAGGCATTTGGGTGAACTACACTATGCTGATGTGAACCAAGATCTAATCATCTGGGGGGGGGTCATTCTGGGACAGGCATCGGAACGTGCCTCCTCCTCCTCTCAACTTCACTGCAGCTGTGTCGAAGGGTTTGCACTATGCACCCATGTGCTCATTTGAAGTAATTGTGCATTCTTAACCTGGGAACAGCACTGCTGAGGTCTGAGTGACCTCAACGTTATCAGGTCAGATGCCAGTAGCCAAATTAGGATCTCACGATTCCAGCATAACCCAGGGCAGCACCTGAACACCCCTTGTAACCCCCCAGAGCAGAACTTGTTCACACACGTGGTAAATCCCATCTCCTCTACTGGGACCAAACAAAACTGCCCTTCCCTGCTGCACACTGACCTTTAAGGAACTTAATTGTTTTTTTTGCTGTTTGTGCTGTTGCTTCATTTCCACGTATCTCCACGTTTGTGCCTTATACCATTAACTTTTTACCTGTCAGCAAGCAGTAATCTGCCTTGTTCTGCTGGTGAAAGGAGACTGGGCACTTCGGCTTCTATTTGTGAAGTATCGCACTCCTTAAGTTTCATGCTTCAAGATAGAGCAGCAATGATTAGAATGCAAATGCTTCTCCCGAGAGGAATCTTCTCTCTTCCACCTCCTTGTGCTACCTCTCACCACCAAAGAAAAGCCACCATCAGTGCCTTTGAAAAAGGCACTTAAAACGTTGGTTTGGGTTTTTTTTTTAAGTGCAGAAACACAAAAGCCTTTGTAAAATTTAAGATCTTGCTCACACTGCCTTGAAGGTTGTAATTCCATGACTGGCGAACAGCCCCACACCAAGTCTGTCAGGAGCAGAATAGGTTCCTCATCCCAGAATCTGCCCATTCCTGAATATTATTAATCAAGAAAGGTTTAAATACATTTAAAGGTTTAAATCATTCCAGAGCAATGGGACCAAGCCACAACAGAACCAAACACAAGAGGTGCGTGGACTGGCTCTTGTCCGTCCTTTATTCTAGCCATTGGCTTTGATAGATCTGAGCCTTAGATGTTGCTGTCTACAGAGACTATTTACTATTAGTTTCTAATTGATAGAAGCAATCAGAATAGAAGTGAATAGCAATTAGATAGAAGTGAAGAAAGGTGGTGAGTGGGTTTTCTTTCTGGCAGCTGACTGTAGATTAGGGTGCTTGGGTAAACTTGCAATGGGGGGAGGAGGGCTTAGCTGGGAATGTAAAATAACTCTATTTGCTTTTAATAAAACCAAGCCACTTCTGTTTGGAGAATAAATAAATCCAAGTTCTTATTTTCCTGCTTGGGATCCTGTGGGATCCTGTCTGGAGCCCACAGCCTGTGCTCTGGCTCCAAAGGGATGGGGACGGGCAGCGAGGCTCAGTGCCAGTTAGGAGTGAATGGGCTGTGTGGGTTCTGAGCCCAAAGGTCCCTTCAGCCCCTGTACAGTACACACACACTCATTTGGGGATGCATCCCCACAACAGGCTCCTCCAATACGCTTCACACACAACTCCAAGGTAAGGAAGGTCAATTGTTGGGGTTTGGGCCCTTCCTGCATCACATCAAGCCTGATTTTTGAGCTCCTGAATGTTTTCCGGTCCAGCTCATGCCAGCAGCAGAGCCGGGTGCTTGGTGATGGGACCTAGGAGCACTTGGAATTGGTGGTACCTGTTTGAAACGTTGTCATACATCTTGTTCTGTCATTCTGAGCCCATCCATTATTCCTCCCTTGTGGCTGCAGGACACATTTTCATAGGGCTGCTGCTGCAAGCACATTGCTGTAACCTCCCAAGTAAAAGCTGCGCAAGAACAGGCCATTGAATGGATGCAGCTGTGAGCAGGGCTATAAAGCAGGAGCAGGACTATAAAGCAGGAACAGGACTATAAAGCAGGAGCACTGCAAAGAGCACTGGAAAGATCATAAGCTACTTAAAGAGAGAGAAGAGTCCTGTGTATTTCAGGGCTTTATATAACTGAACTCATTTACAGTGGTGCCTCGTCTGTGTCTTCCAGAAAGCAACATGCCAAAGGACAGGAAGACATAAATTACTTCTTCCTAAAAAGAATATGATAGCTGATAGCTGGGCTGGAGACTCAATCCTGTCCTTTCCCAATCAGTGTGGCAAAGCCCCAGGAACAGGGATGAGCTGAGCCACCCAGTGAAGCCAGGAGGGCTAAAGCAAGTCTTTACAGTGCCCTCTGCTTTTGGAAAGGGGGAGAGTATTAATGAAATCACATTTAAGTTTTTAAGTGACACTAGATCTAGTTGAAACCTGCAAACTTTTAATCACATTTCCAAATTAAGTAGGTGAATGAATATTTGAGCAGCTTTCCTAAGTGAGTCCTCTTTCCCCTTCCTCCTACTTTCATCTGCAGCTAAAAGAAAACCTGGAGTTAAGAGTAATAGGCTTTTTTGATCTTTTGCCTTCTCCATTTCCCAACTGCAGTGACTTGGTCTTGCCTTCATTTCAGTTTCTCTTCCTTCCAGCCCACCTATAAGTGCACCAAGAGCTTCTCTTTGCTCCTTGCATTCTCTTGCAGGCAGCAAAACCAGCAAACACTCCTCCATGTAATACACATAATAGCTTAAAATCAATTGGCAAAGTTAAATTCAGCAAAACACCCTCTTGTATTAATATTTAAAGCATCATTTGGTATATTTGCTATTTAAACAGATATAGCAAAACCCCTTGCATGAAAATAACTTTAATGACATTTCAAAGCCAGTCATCTAGAAAATACTTAATTATACCAAACCAGCCTCTGCTTTCGTAGCCCTGGCTTCCCATCAGCGCTGTGGTCACACCAAGGCTGGGAGGAGCTCGTGGCCGCACAGCCCTTGTCCGGATCCATCCCTGTGCTATGGGCAGACCTAAGAGAATGAAAAACCCAAAGCAAAGAGGTGAGAGACTTTCCTCCCTGTCACACATGATCCTCCCCAGGGGCCCTTCTAGCAGGGCATCCAAAGAAGCTTTTGCCTGTGCCGGCACTGACCAGGCGGGAGGCACAAAGGTGCCTGGAACAGACACTACGGCGTCAGGAACATTCATAACCCACGTCGGGACACATCGCACCCCACACAATTCAAGCAGTGACTCAAAGGCCGCGCATTCACGGCAGCTTTCACAGGGTCGTGGCATTTCAAGAGAAGAACCACCCCTCAGATCACCATGTCTGTGATGATCCCCCTCTTCAGGCTCAGCCAGTGCTTTCAGAAAGATGGACTGGGTACTAAACTGCTCATTACACTTGATCATAGCCCAAAGGGCACAGCCCCGGCTGCTGGATCCACAGTATTTGTGCATAAGCAAACCCCTCCTGCTTTTCTGCCCAGCCTCACCTAAGCCTTGTCGCATTCAATAATTCACCAGCTGCTCCAGAGAACACTCTGGCTCCAGCAGTAAGGAACTTTAATTGATTTGCTGATGTCTGGAGCTCTGCTAAAATACAGCCAAATGCTGCTGTGTGCACTGATTCAGGGCCAGGCTCTCCCCATCACTCCTCCATCAGCACTGATGATGCACAACATAAATCCCTGTGGCTTCCATCACCTGCAGCGGCCCTGGGACCAATCTCCCCCTAACCTGCTCCCAGGAGAACTACAGCAGAAGCCCAGGAGGAAGGGAGTTGTGCTGCTTGGAGCTGCCATTAAGTCCCATTGGAATGGGATTTAATTCCATGGGAATCAATTGGGAAGCCGGTGGTGCCTGCCAACAACGCAGACACTGCCCTGGCTCTGTGGCAGGGGGTGCGCAAGGGTTGGAGGGCACAGGGTGGGGGAACCAGGCGAGAGCATCACTCTGTTCTGCCTGCACCATGGCTCACTTCAGCCATGGTGCACCACCCAAATTAAACCCATGGGACACTGTGGTGTTTCCTGCCCCATCTTTTAAACCCTGGCATTGTGTTCTTGCAGTGGGAGGAGAGGGACAGGATTCTATGAGAGCCTGCAGGGGCCAGGGGAGGAAAGCTGCCTCCGCACATCACTGTCAGTGTGTTTATTTACCACGTAACGGTAGATACAGCTGGAAAAAGCAGGAGGGGGATTGCTGCCAGGCAGTGTATCCGGGGAGATGTTTTGTTAGTGCCACCAGCTGTCCCTTTGGAATAGAGAGCACGTCTGCGCCATGACTCACACAGCCCGGGTCTTGTTTCACTCCCGCATCCATCCAAAAATGTTCCTCCAGCCTGAGAATGCAGTAAAACTCTCCAGTTGCTGGCAAGGGCTTCTGCAGCCAGCTCTGTTCTGCTGCCCCTCTGTGATCAGCAAAGGAAAAGAGCCACTTCAACTTGTAAAGGAACTCCTGCTGCAATTAGAGGGACCAGAGCTGACCTGCCAGGTCAAGGGAATGCAGAACTCTGTGAGATGCCTAGTTAAGATGGGGAAAAAATAGTCATCAGATTGGTCTAAAGTCAGTGGAGAAACTATTCTGGGCTTGGATGGATGCAGGATCAGATATAAATGTCCAATACTCCAGCAAAGCCAGAAAGATTCTCCCAGAACAGGCTGCTGTCCTAGCCTAGTTACCTTTCCTGACAGCATTCCCATGCAGACAGCTCCTCAAATCTTACTGCAAGTTGTTGTCTCCAAGGTCCACTCCTGCCCATTCCTTCATGCAGCTCTGCTCAGGCATTCTGGCCTCCATGCTCCAACACAGTGAAGCCAGACCTTTCGAAGAGAGGGAAGGAGATGCCAGATGTTGTGGACACATCTGTCACGGATGGAGAACCACAGCCTGGGTTTGTGCCACTGTGATGGAGTCAGCTCAGTGGCTGATCCTGTGGTCACCGCTGGGAGGTTTCCTCACACACTGCAGAAGAGGGAACCTCCAAGGGAAGAGCCCATGCCCACCAGCTGCAGTGTGTGGGGCATGGGGAAAGGCCATGGGGCTCTGCTGGGATGAGACTTTGGCATGGGGCAGTGGATGGGAAGAGGCAATGGGCTGACCCTTACCCTCCCTGCACAAGACCCAATGTGAGTTGGCTCTCCAGTGCTTCTCCTGTGGCTGAGCTGCGACTCCATTGTGTCGAACAAAGCTCATCATCAACTAAATAAGCCATTAAGTCAATGGGGAGACGGGCAGGATGGAGGGAAAACTCAATAAACCATTGGCAAGTGCAATGACTGCAGTGAACCCAAGTGCCATCGGGAGGTCCCTCCACGTCCCAGCACCACCCTGGCACCTCCCAGCTCCTTTTCCCAACCCCATCCCTGGACAAGCCAATAGAAAAAGGTTTCCATCAGTGGTGTCAGTGACCAGGCCCATGCATGGATGCTCCCATCACTTTGGGGGAACCAGGGTTACTTTGCACCAACCATAACTGATCAAAGCCGCCATCATTCCTATGGCTCCGACATCAAACACCAGATTGACAGCAACTCGATGGTGTCCTTTTATATCTCTGGCACAGGCAGAGGGGAGGATCATGACTATTTAGTGCACAGCCCTAGATGGAGCCATGGAACAGCTGGGAAAGGGCTGGGCAGAGAGGGAGCCTCAGTGCCACATTCCCGAGATTAGATTAGAGCTCAGCTCTGAGCCCTGCAGAGAGGCCAGGCCACAGAACACTAAAGGCTGCAAGAAGGATGGGAGCTTAGCCCTCGAGAGCTTCCAAAAATAAAGAGAAGTGGGTCAGAGGGACTGAAGAGGGGCTGGAATGCTTCTTTGAAGCAGAAGGGTAAGAAGGAAACAAGCTGTCACTCAATAAGAGAGGATTCCCATCCCCAGAAACAGTGCCTGAAATGTCAGAGGTGAGAGTGACTGGACATGGGAGCTGGAATTCGAGCACAGTTACCATGCAAGAGGAAAATACCACACCTGCCCTCCAGGAAAGTATTTTAAGCTTAAAAATAAATAAAATCCTGTACCATGAAAGATCCATGTTCCACGGATAGGATGTCTTGGGACTTGTCAGATCCATCATTGCACTGTTGTCACAATACACTCCATACCGGCTGTGTCAGTCATCAAACAAACAACTTCTCATCACTAGCAAACAGTGTGGGAGCGAGGGGGATGCTCTATCCCAGAGCTGTTACCAATGCAGAGCCACAAAGGATGCTGTAGCACAGAGGCTGTTGTTAGCAGCAGGGGGGCTCAAAAGAGCAGCCAGAATGAGTTCTTTATGGTAATACATTATTTGTTATCTATGATAATAAGTTATCCGCCCCATGGCATAAATTTAATTCACTTTGTGATAGTGTAGATCCCTCTAAAGCCTCTTTAGAGCTGATTACATGTATTACAAAGACCAAATTTGGCCTGAACACAGGTATTCACACCTATTTGATTCCCATAGAATACAATTTATCCTCCTCAAACTCAGAGCAGGTTTTCCACTAAGTACAGATCGAATACTCAATCAAATAGAGCTTAATATTTCATATTTACCAAATCTCGAGGATGGTGGGTTCTGAACCCAAGACACTGAGGTTTGATTTCCAATATGCTCTGGCTGAAAAAGGAGATCTGCACAGCCACACATCTTCCACTGACGTTCACCCCCATGGCACAGCAGGATTAGTTTCCAGGAAAAGCCTGACTCAGGCTTTCGTTAGGCTTGGCTCACATGGGACTTCTACAGACTTCAAATGATTTACGTTTAGAGCGAGAAATTGGAAGAATTTCACATAATCCTGAAGGGAAGGACACACACACAGCCCCCTCTCCAAACACATAAACCTCTTTTTAGAGCTCATATGAAAGCTACATTACTCCTGAGCATCCTTCTAGGTTACCACAGCCTCTTCAAGAAGTCTGCTTGATCCAGTGCCCAGCAACCCAAACATCCCAACCTCATGTCAATAAAATCTTTACAGTCCTCCTCGCTTCCCTGTATGAAAGGCAGGCTCCACACCCATCCCAGTAAGTACCTTACTGCAGTGTGCCCAGCGCTTCATCCTCAGCACGCTGCTGACACCAGTGCCAGTCCCCTGCTGCACAACCACACTCCACTCATGGCACCACCATGCAGGCTCCTGCTCAGTCACTGCTTCAACACCTGCATCCCCTGCAGAGGGGAAAAGAAACAAAGACCTGGGCAAGAATGGCTGAGCTCAGCAGTTTTCACCTGCTCACGGCCATGCTACTGCTCCCCATGTACTGAGCACTTACCAGAGTGAAAACATACACAGCAAGGGGCAGAAGCTCAGCACGTGCGCTTGGAATTGCCCCACACCACAAATACTGCCCCAGTCTAAGGCTGACTTCAAAATCCAATCTGACACCACAACAAGGGAGATTTCACCTGCTCAGATCCTGCTTTCGGTGTCCCTGCGTGGATGAGGAGGGTGGGGGCAAAGGCAGGTCCCACTCCCCCAAGCACTCCTGTCGTGATGCTCCCGGGGGCCCAAGAGGCCGAATCCAGCAAGAACAGTGATTTTTCAGCAAACCAAGTGAGGATTGCCCCTCTCCCCTCTTGCCTGAGCCAAAACAGCAGTCCTTCAAGGTCAGCAATGTAATAAACTGGCAAAAGAAGGTAGATGGGAAAGCTGCCAGCTCTGCATCTTGCCAGGTATCTGTCACACTAATGGATAAACAGACCCTTCTGCTTCCAGGATTTTCCATCCATCACTTAACCCGCCCACTGCGAAGTTGTCACTTAATTTGAAATTAAAAGGGGAGCAAGAGGAATTGTTAAAAAGACCTCGAGAAAGCAGGGGAAGGAGGAGACACCCGAGAGCCTTGGGTCACCCTACCCCATCCAGCCTCTGTCGTTGCTGCTTTGTTCCATATTTAGCTCCCGACAACTGTGCCTAGCACAGGAACTCCCAGCTCTGTTTTTCCCTCCTCCCTCTCCCTTAGAGCTCCCAGAAATCGTTCCTTCTTTTTCCCAGTGGCCATAACTTAATACCCCTCGGCTCAAGAAGATGGCAGAGAAGCAGGAGGAGCCCAGCAACACCCAGAATGGGGAACCTGACAACGCGGAAGAGGGGGAGGAAAAGAAGAAGAAGAAGCTGAGGCGGGAAGACCTGCCACCATTTGAGATTGTGACGGGGTAAGAGGTTGAGATACAAGTATGGGGGCGCGAGAGAGGGACGTGGGGATGTCCAAAGGTCTCTGCCTCAGCTCTTATGCTGGGTCAAAGACAGCATCTTCAGCCAGTGCATTGCTGAATATTCCCAAAGGGATTAAGCGTGGCTTTTGTTGTGGTGGGATTTGGTTCAAAGTTTCACTGAGTTTTAAAAAGGATGGATTCACACCAGGCAGGCAGATCTGTTTTACACACGCAGGTCTGTTCCTGCAGTGCTGGCTGCTCCCCTTACACTGCAAGTAGTCCCACATGATTTGCCTGGTGGTACCGGGATGGAAGGCACTGGCCCTTGATGAGTGCCGAGTATTGATTTCTTGGCGTGAGCAGTGGCTCTCTTGTCTGAGAGTTTCACTAATGTGGATTGGGAAAAGCACCCCTGCTATGGCCGATTTGCTTTATGAACCTAAGGGACAGAGTTTTCAAGAGATAAAAGCCCACATTCCCAAGGGCTCCTCCAACTCCACAGCTGGATCCTGACTTTCAGAGAAGTCTGACTCACAAAACAGCCCCAAAACCACAGGCAGCTTTCAGGACTGCAAAGCAGCAAGGGGCTGCCTTTGCTCCAGGGAGCCTGGCCTTTGAAAGAGGCAGATCTGAGAGATGTGCCAGGAAGCTGAACTGTCAGATATAATGGACAGCTGCAACCAGAACCAACTCGGTAATCTGCTATCTCTAAGCATTGCAAAATGTTCATTGTAGTAGTAGCAAGATGCCCTGTGTCATTCCTCCTTCTGGTCTCCCTCAGCAGTCACCAAAGGGAGCATTCCCACCACGTAAAACCAACTCCTGGTTTCTTCCAGCTGCTTGAATGTAAAAGCTCAGGCCAGATACTAAAATCCCACTTGGAATCCTCCTGCCTGTGACATGGTCACTGGGAAGAAAGATTCCACAGATAAAATTTGGGTGGCACTTGTGAAAGAGACACAGGAGGCAGCACCCAGGTCTGATCCCACACAACCAGGTTACAGCCCTGCACAGGGGTGGAAAAAAACACCATTTTCTTCTTAAAATGTGCCTGCTCTGGCAAAAATCACTTCCCAAGGTGAGGCTTCTCTTGGCCTTTGGTCTGTCACACACAGTCATAGAGATAATAAAAGGCACTGCTCCAGCAGAAATTTAAGAAAAGCACATCCGTCTGCTAGGAACAGAGCTAAGACACCACAAATTGTTTATATGGCCATTGGAGCAATGACACATGGAGGTGACAACTTCTAGACACTTAAAGACATGCACTAAAATGAATCTAATTGCGGAACTCTGATTTTTCAGCATTAGAGCACTCACCCTGCAATTAGAAATGCTGAGGAATCGGGTAGTGGCTTCACAGCAGCTGGATGGGAACCGGTGTGCTTGTTATGGATGAAAAGTCCCTTCTTAGTGTCAGCCTGCAGTAACATTCTTTGTTGAAATGACAGGGGTGGTGCAGAATTTGACTGGACTTTCCACTCTGGAAAGGCGGCAGCAGGAACAGGAGGGATGATGAGTGCCTGCAAAAAGGAGAGCAAGGGGGAAATTCAACCTGTGAGACTTATGCTGGATGTGGTGCCTTTAGTGGAGAGGAAAATGGCAAGAAAAGAAATTCCACAGTCACATTAGTGCTTATAAATACCTTGTGGATTCCTGTAGGAACCGTGACCATGTCTCTTCTGATCATTAGCTCGTTACTAACATGCTGGCTGTTAAAGGTGAGAGTGAGGAAGTACAGCAGGAATCCTGAAGGACCTGGGAAGAGGCACAGAAAATTCCAGCAGTTCCTACCCCCTATCATCATGGGTTGGATTTCTCCAATTCCGTACATATTTGCAGCCACTGAACCCAGTCAAATAGGAGAAATCACAGAACTGCAAACGTGGAAGCACTGCAGCTCAGTTACACTGCATTTCAGCTCTAGCCCTTGGATTAGGGGCACCTTATGACACGCAGCCAAGTTTCCAAGCTGTTGCTTACAGCTGAGGCTGGCTTACAAGAAAAATACTGGGCACCCAACTACTCTGTTTAAGAATATTAACCCCTGTTTTGTCAACATTTGGCTCAACACAGTCCCAGATAAATATAAGCCCCATCTGTGCACATTGCCTGACATTTAAGTACTCTCATTTATTTACGCTTCGGGGTGTAAATGAGGCTCCTTCTAGCAGGGATAAACCTTAGTTCCTGTCTCAGCTGATCACTGCAGGCTTCCTATAACCAATGAGCCCAGCATGAATGTGTTTACTTGAGAATAGCTGTCAAGGAGCAAGCAAGAGGACACTGGTTTATCAGATCAAGTAACTTAAGACCTGGAGAAGGGAATGGCAAGAAAACTTCACTGATTGCAAAAAAAAAAAAACAAACCACAAAAGCAGAAAAGCAAATAGCCCAGGCACTGAAATATCTGGTATTTGTGTATTTTAACAGGTTGTGAGGTCAAATTCAAGGCAATACAATATTTATGTTCATCACTTACAGCAGTACAGCTTCTGGTGTAAGAAAATATGAAAATGGAACTCATCTCCTGGGTATACTTCATTAGCATTACCTTTCCTTAATGCTGGAACAAAACCCATAATGGGTAAAATAGAGATAACATTAACATTTGTGCACCACCTATCATTCAAAGATGGGAAAACAGGCTGGCCAAGCATTCAGTATTACTAGGAAACCATCCTTTCAAAGCTAGAGTTGAGTTTCCAAAGCAGTTGGCTTAGTTGTAGTGGCTGACACAGCTATTTCAGGGATGCATATTGATGCTCAACTGTTCTGAGTTTTAATCTACCCAAACAACATAATCACGATACTTCACTTTGTAAAAGTCATGCCAAGCTGTACCTCAGGGTGAGGTTACACAGCACTGCAGTATGTGCACAGCCCTGTGGTACATGGGGTTTGTTCTTGCCTGTTCTTTCACTGCTGAAACACTCCCTGCAGGGCTGTCCAGTTACTCCTAGGAGTAACACCACCTTGTCTGAACCCTAGCTGCCAGGAAGGGTCACACAGCAGGGACCCAGCTGAGCCTGGCCAGGATGGATGCTTGCAATTCACTGTCCTGAGGTGTCCTCCCTGCTCTGGTTTAGATGGGATTAAGCAGGTTCTCACTGACCAGCACGCCCAGCTCTCTGCTTGCCTGGGTGTCCTGATCAGCAAATTTTCCAAGCTCTCAGCCAGCTACTTGGAAAATGCCCTTAGCTTTGTTTATATTCTTTATTGGAAAGTTATTAATGAAGCTGATACGTATCCCATGTTGCTAGGAGGATGGATTTAGGTGGATATCCCAGATAATCTTAGGCAGACACTGAGATGGTGAGTGATAAAATCCATCTAGAAGGAATGACTAAATGCACTGCTGAGTGAACACATCCTGGAACAGATCTGGAACAGGTCACTGCTCTTCAAACAGCACATCAAAACATCCACACTCAGCCTCACCACTGACGTAACGGCTTTGCAGTCAAGAGTTAAATCTGGAATGAGCTTCCATGTGACTGCTGGGCTGCATTTAAATACATGATCTTATTCTAAAACAACTCATTGTAGCCTGACAAACTTAGTTCTGAAACAAGGCAGTGGGTGGCTTACATCAGACCCAACATAGCTGGACTTTAAAGAAAACATTGATTAAATAACCATTAACCAAAGAACCACTCATTAGCTAGAATACAAAGCAGGAAAAGTGCTTTGCTTGGAAGCATGTGAATTGTTTTGGCCCAAAGAACAAGAGAAAGTTGTTCAGGACATAAGAGGCACTCAGCTAGAGTTTGGTAATGCTCTTTGGTTTATGTCTTGCAATTCATCTTAAAGAAAATGAGACTCACTGTAACATGCAACTTTAAGCCATACAATGTAAGGGAACAGGTCAAAATGCAAAGAAAAGGAAGTTAAAGTTCCTCTGGGTAGTTTAGAAATTGTGCAAGCCAGCACAGGCTTCCCTTATCTAGGCTTGTGCAGACTCTGAATGCAAATCAGAGAACCATAGGCCTAATCATATTCAAAGAGCACGATTTATTTGCTCATTAATCAAAATAATAGTCTGTACCCACACTAGTGCTTTGCATCCCTCATTAATACACTGCCAGCTAAACCAGAAATAGTGTGGAAGGCTCCCAAACAGGCTGCTCCTATTGTTTAAATCCTGTCTCGTGCAGATCTCATCTAAGTAGAATTGAACAGTGTGAGGTTTAATTACAGGGTTTAATCAGCAGCTGAAAGCCTGCTCCTAGTAAAATTTCTCAAGGCAAACCTGTGCTCTGAACTTCCAGTCACGAATCAGCGATACGTGAAAAGAATTCCAGCGGCCCCATGGTATTCCCAGCGTAGATGCGATTCTGTGACCAAATCGTTTTGACTCATACATCGTGTTGCATTTGGAAGACCAACGATCCTCCTTCCAGTCACTTCCACTGTCTCTGGAGACACCTTGGGAGATGCTGCATCACAAATTGCTCCTTCCTCTCAGCAGGACAATGCTTTGGCACCGAATCCTGCAGCCTCACTGCTCTCCCAATTACAAACTCCGGGAGTCTGAGGATCTGTGCTGACCTTTGCTCAGTGCACCCCCCGGAGAGGGCTGACATTATAATCCCACTCTAGATGAGACAGGAATGAATAAAACACTGTTTTACAAAGACCCGTTATTGCCTCACTGGGAGTATCAAGGTTACAGGTCCACCTAAAGCTCAGATGAGAGGAATACAACATGCCAGAAGATTACGGGTGTATAATAAATGGAGTGTTGTGTTACTCCTTTTCATTATTTCACTTTGGCTACCCTGTGCAGTCTTCACTCCCACCCTCTGTGGCATTTAGCAGGTCACAAGGCATGTTGTGAGCACAGTCTTTTTCATCTTTCCACCTAACGCTCTCAGGTACTAGTCCTTGTACCAATTATGTGCTACAGGGGGTGATCAGAAAGCCTGGTACTCCCCAAACTATGAGACAATGCAGCTTTCCTTTTTTGTCTCTTCAGCCACCAATGCACCAAGGCTACATGCAGTATTTAAGGGACTAACTGTAACTTCCTTAAATAACAACTACCTTGTGTGAGCGAAAGGGCTCTGCAAACACATTACTCACTGCCATGAATCACTTTGGATTCTGCTTCTTTAGAAGCCCAGAATGGAAGAGGAGGTGCACAAAAAGTATCTGAAGTTTATCAGCAGCATCCATGAGAGAGCTCTCAAACTGCAGTGGGAAAAACACTTTCACAGAGAAGTTAGATTTGATCTCAGGTATTTTATTAAACCAAAGTCACAACATAATCCTACTGAACATCAGTATTCAGCTGGTACTGAAGGAGCAGAACCAGAACACATAAAAGGTGTAACTAGTCAGTCATACTTGCCTCTACTCAGAGGAAATCCAGCCTGCAAAAGCACGGGGGGCAGAACATTAACCAGCAATGCCAGAGCTATCATCCTAAAAGCGTAGGTCAACAGATCCCACAGGTTAACACTGCACCACCACCCTGACAGAACTATGTTAATGGCCTAGAAAACAAGCTCAGTCTACAGGTACATTAAGACTGGGAAAATGCTAAATCCCGTCCCTCCTTACCAACAGTAAATACCTGAGTCTCAAGAAATACATTTTAGAAGCAGGTTCAAGTATGTTAATGCAGATACCAGATATTCCCAATACAAGTCTGCTAAAATTAAGTGAAAAAAATACTAGGTAGAGAGCACGGGCCTGGAAGCCTCACCACACCACAAATTAGCTGAGTATCACAGGATTTTAGATGTACTTTGATTCTCCTATTAAAAGGCCTCTCCTTTTAATGCACAGAGAAACACAGCCACCATAGATGCAGCAACTAGTCCAAGATCACCCACAGGAACTAAGCCAATGCTATAACCCTTTCCTGTCTGTCTCTGAGATGCCTCTCTCCTCTCCACTCTCTAGGGAGCGCCTCCCAGCCATATTCTTCAAGTTCCAGTTCAGGAATGTGGAATACAGCTCCGGCAGGAACAAAACCTTCCTGTGTTACGTTCTGGAGACCCAAGGCAAAGAGTCGCTGACTTCCCGGGGTTACCTGGAGGATGAGCACGCGGCTGCCCACGCGGAAATGGCTTTCTTCAACACCATCCTCCCCAAGTGCGACTCCAGCCTCCGCTACAACATCACCTGGTACGTGTCCTCCAGCCCCTGCGTCACCTGCGCCGAGCGCATCATCGAGACCCTGAAGAAGAACAAGAACCTGCGCCTGACCATCATGGTAGGGCGCCTCTTCATGTGGGAAGAGCCAGAAATGCAGGCGGCCCTGAAAAACATGAAGTCAGCCGGCTGCAAGCTGAGGATTATGAAGCCGCAAGACTTTGAGTATGTGTGGCAGAACTTTGTGGAACAGGAGGAAGGAGAGGAAGCGAAGGATTTCGTGCCATGGGAGGACATTCAAGAGAACTTCAATTATTACGAGGAAAAGCTGGCTGAGATTTTGCACTGAAGCTCACGTGAGTGAGGGGTTCTCCTTGGTCACCTCTCTCCTTGTATCAGCATTACAGGCTCCTTTATTTCCCAGGTTCAAGGTGTCATCCAGAGCCCCACTTCAATTACTGTTACTTTCACATGTGCTGGGCTGGATTTGCCTGTACCTGAGCACTGAAAATGATCTTAGGCAGTAACTTACCCCTTCCAGTGTAGTCAGACCACAGTGGGCTCCTCCACAGCAGACACGAGGGATTTAGAGCTTTCTCTTTTTAAACACTTCCAGGAATAAAGAATCCACATGTGCTGGGTGCAACAAGAACATCTCGTTATTCCCCACATGAGTATATCCAAAAGACTTGTGGCAACAGGGAGGGGAGTGTGGAGAGAAGGGGATTTTACCCACCCCTAAAGCCTAGCTGTCCAGGGGAAAAAACGACGGCTAAAGGAAATCACAAGTCACCACTGCAGAATTCCCTTTTGGAACTAAAAAGTCACCTGTTTAAGGCATAAAATACGAAAGCATTTAAAGCTTCTAACATGTCTTTCTGTCCCTCCCCAGGACCAGTCCAGAAAAGCTCTATAAAGAGAGATGCAACAGACCTGGAAACCTGGGACACTCCTGCTTCCCAAAGCTTTGATTCCAGCAGGATGGAACACCAACTTGTGGAAGACCAGGCCCTGAGGGACTACAAATACACATACACCACAAACCTTTGGTGTCTGGCATTTTTCTGGGTTTATTTTGGCCCCATTTCCCCCCTCCCACCCCAAACCAACTCATGCTGCCTCTGCTGATAGGAAACGAGGCAGCACCATAGTGTGTGGTTTAAGCCTTGGATGCAATGGAGAGCAGTGGGTCTACAGGAGAGACTGTAGGCCTCATACTGGGACTACTTTATGAGAAAAGGTCTTAGAGCAAAGCTACCAATTAGGTCAATGCATTTAGAAAGTACAACCTTCATAAATGTTAAAGAGATTCAAGAGGGGAAAAAAAGGGTTTTCTTCCTCTGTCCTCCTCCACAGTCAGAGCTGTGATTTAAATTAGGGCTAACGGGTCTATTTTAATGTGATGATAAAGCCCTAAGTACTCAATTGCAAATACATCAAATACCTTCCCCCCTTGTTCAATGACGCGTGCGATATGAAACTGGGAAAAGCAAAGTGAAATAAAACTAGAAGTCACTGCAAATGCTATAGCACTGTTCCTTCTTCTCTGGCTGTGAGAAGTCTTAAATCTGACCTGACAAGCGAGCTCATCCTGGGCCAGCCACAGATGAAACATTTCACAGCTGAAGTGCATCATTATGAAAAGGGAAAATCACTGCATGCCAAAACACATCCAAGAGTGCATACAAGTGCAGAATACTGAGAATATGGGCAAATCACTTCCCATATCAGCCAAAGCACAGACCACACAAGGGTCACAGAGATGCTCATCAGCTCAGATACCCAGGCAGGGTTTGTCCTCATCCGGACTTGCACTTCCTGCACTGTCACACGCTGGAGCAGTGCTCCTCACACACACTCCCTGCTGCAGATCATCCCCCTCTCTCTTACCTCAAGTCAACTGCACTAAACTCAGGCATAAATTTTCCAGGTGGGAAACCCAAGCAGCATTGGGAACACCTTTGTGGAGCCCCTGGGGACTTCATCTCTTTGCCGCTAGAAACCAAACGTAAATGAGCGGGACTGAATCAATGAGCAGTGGTGATGTCCACTCTTCATCAGCTCAATACCCCCGAGTTCCTATTTGTCTTACTGAGTTTTCCAATTGTTTATTTAGCTACAACAATTATCCACTAAAACCAAGCTTAGAAAGGATGGCCAACACACACAGATGGGATTCATAGATCTGCACCGGCAAAGAAACACACAATACTGATGAATCACAGTGTCACGGACAGAGAACACCCAATACATTCAATTCATACTGAAACCCAAATAGGAACCCTCGGTTATGCTACAAGCTGCTTATGTCCCATCTTTCAGGTTTATTCAACACATCTGGCATGTTTTTGGGCATTCAGTAGGAAGGAAGTGAAAAAGATTTATTATGGGAGGCTGGGAAAATACAGACATAAAGGAGATGCAGAGTGACAGTTCTTCAGTACAGGAACCAAGCTCCCCAACATCAAGCAGTTACCAGTGAGCTGCTTTGCTTTTGCTACTGGCAACACCAAACACCAACCTGCGCATAACAGCTGAACTACAAATGCATTAAAACAGGAATATGGAAAGAAAACCTTAAAACTCCACACTATGGCTTTTCAGAGCATATCAGGTATTCACGTGTGTGGGCTCTCAGACAACAGCAACCCTAGGATACAAAACACACCCAATAAAGTGCCTTCACCCATCTCTAGTGTTCCCCTCCAAACCCAGCCTTCCTCCAGAACACAGCCACAACACACACACACACACACACACACACAGAGGAATGGCCGATCTGACACCAGAGTACTGCACAGCTCTTTATTTCATATTGACAGCATGATTCTCAACCAGTACTATCTCCTAACAAAAACAACTGTATTTGCGTCCAGAAGGTAAAAATTAGATTGCTAATCCTGTAATGAACAGAGTAAATCAACTGTATGCCACGTGTGGACACTGCAGAACAGGGAAAAACAACAAGTGACAGGGCTCCACAGCTCTCGATACCAACAAACACCCAAGTGACAGCCAGCTCCAGTTTCACCCTGCAGAGGAACCCACAGCTCTAGCAACAGCGAGGCTCTATGGAGGCCCAGTGACACCTGGTGGCTTCCAGAGACAGAGCCAGAGGGTTACAGCCCCACCATTGCTTTCTTCACAGGCTGCTCAGCCCCACATCCAAACTTGCTCGTGGCACCACCACCACCTCCTGAGTGAGCTACGCTCCAAGGATGTGCTCAGCGTGCAGTTTTCCCCCTTGCCAGCTACCAGGTTCCCAGTCCTCAAAGCTCAAACGCACTGCTGCTCACAGAGTGTAAACTGTGATCTTGATATCAGTGCCTTCAAACACCTCCTCAAGTATTGCTGAAACTTTACTCCAATCCAGGCCATCAAGTCCACATCCAATCCTGGAAAATGAGACATGGAATCAGCTGTTAACAGCCCCTTTTGGAGCATGCTGTGAACAACCAGCCCTCTGAGCAGCTACGGTTTTGTGTGGCACTAACCCAGCTCATAAAAAAAATCACAGAATCCCAGTCTGGTTTTGTTTGGAAGGGACCTTAAAGCTCACTCAGCTCCAAACCCTGCCACAGGCAGCGACACCCGCTAGAGCAGGCTGCTCCAAGCCCCACCCAACGTGGCCTTGAACAGTGCCAGGGATGGGGCAGCCACAGCTTCCCTAGGCACTCTGCCAGGGTCCCCTTGACCTCATAACGAAGAATTTCTTCCTAATACCTAAACTAAATCAACATAATGCACTTAAAGTGAGGAAGCAACCAAGCCTGGATGTTTTGCTATCATTTAAATACAGTGTGAAGTGCAAGTTTCATTTGTACAAGTGACCAGAAGAGAAGTGGATTCCTGAACTCGTATTTCACAGCAGAGGATCATCTCGCAGACATCCTCATACACAAAAAGCACTGAAGTATTTAGAGTAACCCCACTTCCTACCTAGGCATGGAGATGTCAGTGACTCCGTTGTTCAGAGAGTGAGCTTTCATGGCCTCTAAACTCTTCCGCATACTATCGTATGTTGGTTTGTGAGAAGCTTTCTTCTTTGTAATCTAAGCACAAAAGTAAAAAAGTCAGTTGTGCCTTTGCCGTGATCACTGCAAACTGCTTTTTTATAATATCATATCCCACTACATTCCAAAGGTCCATGCCCAGAAAGAGACATGGAACACCCCTTGTTTCACAGCTTAAAACAGTGTAATTTAGCAGCTAGTTCTGTCCATTTAAAGCTTAACTACACATACAAACGGTTCCTCTCTATTAGCACAGCTCACTCCTCTCATTTAGGGGAGCAAAGTCAAAACCTCCCCTTGACTACTAAAGCCCTTATCATCATATCAAATATAGTTAGGCAAGTACCCAAGTTAACGTCACACTCTCACCAGGTAGTAAATGTATCGGTCGTCTCTCTGGAGCACTGCCACCTCCCCAGTCTTCTTTTCTGAAGTGAAACAATTAAGAACTTGTTTTAAATCACTCCTATACCATTGTGGAATTCCCCTGCACCCCACGCAGCTTGGAATGTCCTTAGAGAGCTCAAAGTCCCCCCCCCGCCGAGCCTTCTCTTCTCCAGACTGAATCCCCCAGGTCCCTCAGCTGCTCCCCAACAAACTTGTGCTCCAGGCCCTGCCCCAGCTCCGCTGCCCTTCTCTGGCCCCACTCCAGCGCCTCAATGTCTCTCTTGCAATGAGGGGCCCAGAACTGGATTCAAGGTGCTGCCTCACCAGTGCCCAGTGCAGGGGCACAATCCCTGCCGTGGCCCTGCTGCCGATCCAGGCCAGGATGCTGGGGGCTTCTTGGCTGCCTGGGAACAAGCTGCTCACGTTCAGCTCCATCAGTCGGCAGCCCCAGCTCCTTTCCCATGAGCAGCTTTCCAGCCACCCTGCCCCAAGCCCTCAGTGATAGGCTTTAGTGGTGGTCTTGGCAGTAATGGGGTAATGGTTGCAACTGATGATTTCAAGTCTTTTCTAGCCTGGCTGATCCTATGATTCCAAATCAAGGGTTTCCCCTTCAGCTCCTGCATGTCCACACTCACGTTGATCCAACAGCTCCTGCACACCTCCAAACTTCTCCTTGAAGAGCCGGGCTATGCCGGCACCCATGCGGCAATCCTCGCTGATGCAGTGTGCCAGAGCATCTTGTGGGGGGCACGTGAAGAGGTCCCCCTTCACGCATTTCAGCTGGAAAACACCACAAACACAAGGGCAAATAAAAGCAAGCCCAGAGTGCAGATTCCACTAATGGGATTCTCAGAAACAGGGAATCTGGCCAGCATGGCCAGTGAAGAGTGTAAGGACTTGAGCTTTAAGATGCAGCCCACAAGTAAAGGACTCAGCATCAATGAGAAGCCCAGCGTACAGGGAACTACCTTTTCTACAGAACCAACATGCCAGCTTACATGTTACTAAACCAATGCTTAAAAAGGAAAACTACATACTATGGAGCACAGTTGCATTAGTGCATGTCTTCAGCACACCACCAGTGTGCCAGAGCTGCGTACCCACATACACTTCAGCACCCCTACGCTCTTGCACAGCATGTGCACCACTGACACCAGCATGAGGAACTGAGCACCATCAGCCACAAGCCAGTTTGCTCCGGCACACTACAAGCAGCTCCCACACTATCAGCCTCTTCACACAGACACCTATCACAGCAGTAGCCCACATAACCCATTTCCTACGCACTCTCTCCTCCTGATCCTTGGAGAAGTGGGTGGCCATGGTAACGTGGGCTATGCTGAAGGCTCCTGCGGCTGGAAAGATGACAGAGAGAAAAAGAGAGTTATTAGGAAGCCCACACACACACGGGTGCAAGGCCAGGCCTACTGCATCAATGGGGACCACCACGACACCCCGTGGGCACAGCACCCCCGCAGGGGCACCACACAGGAGCCACCCTCAGCCCTCCACCAGAGCACCCCTACCCTTGAGGCCACCCCTCCGCAGCCCGCACCCGCGGGAGCGCCGTGCAGAGCGCTCGGCGTGGCCGCAGCCCGCGCCGCCAAGGCCCGTCCCAGCGCGGCCCACATCGGCCTCCGCCGCTCCGCTACCTCCGCGGCAAGATGGCGGCGGGCGGGAGGACCACCCCCTCCGCCATCCTCACCCAGAACATTCCAGGCGCCAACACGCATGCGCCAAGCGGTAGAGGCGGGGGCTACCCAAGGCAAAGGAAGGGGTGAGGCCGCGCAGGCGCAGAAGCCGTGGGTGGGCAGTGCCCGGCGTCGAAGGAGGGAGGGGCCACCCGCGGCGTGGGCCGTTGTGCGCATGCGCCGCCCGCGCCCGCCCCCGCCCTGGGCTTTGTTCGGGGTTGGACGCCATTTTGCGCGGCGGCTGAGTGAGGCGCTGATTGGGTTTCGGGGGCCCGCGGCGGAGCCAATCAGCGCGGGGCCCGAACCGGGGGAGCGAGGCACGGTGAGCGCGAGCAGCCAATATGGAGCCCCCGAGCGCCGGCCCCAGCGCCGGGATTGGCGGGGCCGAGTGGCCAGTCAGGAGCCCGCGCGCGGGGCCGGGCCCGGCCGGGGCGCTGCGGGGCCGGGGCTCGGCTGCTCCGGGCCTGGGGAGGCGCGGGGGGAGCGCGGAGGGGCGGGGGGGCACCGGGGCCTGGTCCGCTGCGGGGAGTAGCTTGGTGGGCCCGGCTGCCCTCGGCGGGGACAGGCCTGGCCTGTGTGTGCGGGGCCGCTGGGACGGGAGCCGGCAGCGCCCCGCCCTCCACCGGCCGTGTGGGGGGAGCGGAGCGGAGAACGGCCCCGCCGGCTGCGACAGATGGGCCGCGGGCTGCGCCTCCTCCTCCTCCTCCCCTTCCCCGCTGTGCCGGGTGTGAGCCGAGGGCAGGACGCGGCTCCCCCCCCCTCCAACCTCGCCTTCCCGCCCCGCACCTGGCCGCCAAATGTCGCCGGCAGCGCTGCTCTCCGTAGGGAGGATCCGGCTGTGGTGCGGGGTGAGGAGCCCGGGGCCGCCGAGCTGCCGCCTCCGGGAGCGGCAGGCCCCGGGCTGAGGCCGAGCCGCCCTGGGTTGCTCCCGCAGCCGTGTGTCGGGTGAGGAGCTCCGACAAAACCTGGTCCCCCGTGGTTTATTACTGCTGCTCTCAACGTAGCGCAGGTCCTGGCGTGGGTTATCGCGCTGGTTCGATCTTAGTGTGGCTCTGCTGAGGGAGCTGTTAGTGCATGTTCTGTAGCCCCATGGCAGTGTGTGTGTGTGCAGGTATGAAGCATGCTGACGGAACATTAGGCAACTGTCAGGCAGCCCAGGGCCAGGGAGGAGGCAGTGGCTGAGGAGGCAGCTCCAGGAGCAGTGTGTGCCCCTGCAGTGCATCACCTGGTCCTAAAACTGGAGCAGTAACGCTGGTGCTATGGGTTTGAATGAAGGGAATTTGGGCTGGTTCAGCCTGGAGAAGAGAAGGCTCCTGAAGGGGAGACCTTAGAGCAGCTCCAGTGCCTAAAGGGGCTGCAGGAAAGCTGGAGAGGGGCTTGGGACAAGAGCCTGTAGGGACAGGCCAAGGGGAATGGCTTTAACCTGCCAGAGGGGAGACTGAGCTGAGCTCTTTAGGCAGAAGCTCTTCCCTGTGAGGGTGCTGAGGCGCTGGCACAGGGTGCCCAGAGAAGCTGTGGCTGCCCCATCCCTGGCAGTGTTCAAGGCCAGGTTGGACACGGGCTTGGAGCAAGCTGCTCTAGTGGAAGGGGTCCCTGCCTGTGGCAGGGGTTGGAGCTGGAGGAGCTTTAAGCTCCCTTCCAACCCCAACCAGTCTGGGATTCTAAATAATCCCTTGGGAGGACTGTGATCAAATGCCTGTAAAATCTGTTTGTGACTTTGGCTGGTGGCAGGCAGTGCAGAGAGCTGGGATTTCAACCCTTCCAGTATGTGAAGTACACAAGACAGCGACTCAACACAGGGTGTGTGAAGAGCCATCCCCAAGCCCCAGTGGGCATGTGCTCAAGAGCTGGTTGTGGTGTTAAGGAAGCCAGAAAGCTTTTGGCAAACAGCTTTTACTGGGCCTGCTATTGGAATACATCCCTGATGAGTGGAATGTGGGAGCCGTCTCCTGCCAGGCCTGTATTTGGTGTTAATGTGCAAGAAACCAAGAGAATGTAAAATCCTTTTGTTTTCTTAGGCTACTGTGAGGAGTAAGGTGATAGAAAAATGATGCATTCTTAAGACACATACAGGACACTGAAGTACAAAGGATGGTTTAAAGAGCAGGAAGCGTGAGAGGTGGCACTGCAGCAAGTAACCACAGCAACTGTCACAGCTAAAGTTGTGACTGGGTTTTGTGTGCTTCTTTGGGAGCCTGGGGGTTTTGGTGCTTTAGAATTCCAAGATTAAAGTTATAGGCTGCTTTTCACTAATGTAGCAGGTACTTGTACAGTCATAGCATAAATCAAATACCTCATTAAGAGTCAGAGTAAGAATTCTTCCCTTGTGGATCTACTGGGAAGAAACCTGAGGGAGAAGGAGGTAATGGAACTGAGTGTTTTATTTCAACAGCGTGTTCCTCATATGTGCAGGCAAGAGTCCAGGAGCTCGGAGGCAGTAAAAGGCTGGGGGCAGTGAGAAGTCTGCTGGTTATCCTCAAATATAGGAAAGGAGGAAGAGGAGAAGGATGAGGAGGGAGTGCTGTGTAGTTGGGGAAGGAAAGTTCTGCTTTGCTTTGTTGAACTCCTGAAATGCAGCTTGGTTTTACATCTGAACTTTGTGTTTGGTGAGGGGATTTAACCATCACATCCCTCTCCTCCACCAATATGCAGTGCAGGCACCAGTCTACAGCCCAGAATATTCAGACTTGAAGGGTAAAACGGGAAGAGAAAGAGGCTCATAGCTACTATTTCATGCACTGAAGATATTGAGAGCATTGAGATTGTGGTACTTTCTGCTTCGTGGTCAAATGAGCTGCTCTTGAAATGCCAATTGTAGTTGTGTTAGTGGGTGCTTTGAAAGAGGTGGTTCTGACATCAGTGCCAGCAGATGGTTTGCTTTTCAGGCACTGTCAGGTAACAGTAACCTTCGCACAATAATCACAGGCTTTGTTCACTTCTCTTGCCAGATACACAGGCTGAGGTGCGCCTTCCACCGTGCTGGAGCTGACCCGCTATGGAGCAGTACACAGCAAACAGTAACAGCTCCACAGAGCAGATCGTTGTGCAGGCTGGACAGATTCAGCAGCAGGTATGGAGGGTGGAACGGGTGAGCTGGTGTGCTCAGAGCTGTTACACATCATCTTGTGCTCTCAGAGTTTCACAGGACCAGCCTGATGCTTCATGATGCTGTCTGGATATGCGTTTGCCCGGCTTTAGCCACCTAATCTGCGGTCACTGATCTGACTTGAAGTCAGAGTAGATGTAAAAATGACTTACTAATAAAGTTGCAGGTATACAAGCTACCAAATTTCATGTCGATGGGAGTTTGCAAACTGGTGGTGACCTGAGGAAAGTAACAAATCCCCTCTGAAAATGGAAGAAATGCAGTATTAATAGAAACAGTCTGGTGTCCGCAAGGAACAATGTAGTTTCCCCCCACATTTGAAATAGGCTTTGTTGAAGCCCATAGAGGCTTTCTCAAAAGGAGTATTTGAGATCCGTCATTTCAGAACTACAGGTGGATCAGAAAGAACACACAGCACAGGAGTTGCAGCAAGACATGTAGCTTTGGATTAATTCATCCTCCAGAAAGACATTTCTATTCCATGTTCTAATGTGCAGGTGAGAAAGGCCAGGATTTTTTAAGGGCTTATAGATTTTTCCTGTTAAATTTCACCCATTCAGATACAATAACACATTTTCAGGTGAGCTGTGCTGCTACTGCTGGGTTTTGTTGTAGCTTGTGTTTACTGTAGTTCAAGGCAAGGGGAATTTCTTACTTTGTTGTGCAAATGAGTGGGTGATGTTTTCAGTGAGATGGGCTTTTGTCACCAGTCTGTTTGATAGCAGGGACCAGCTTCTCCCATTGCTTTTAATTGACATTTTTAGTCAGAACAAGAACGTACTGGAGATTAAACATAAAGAATTATCAAAAATACCTGCTACAGCAGATACATTTGGTTTTCTTGACACTTTGTAGGTGCCAATGAAGTAAATACATACTGTGGCTTGCTTCACTTTTAGTACATGCTCTTAAAGCCTGGGTTGTGTATGACATGAAATGTTTCTCTAAAATAAAACGTTTAACAGGCCTGTTGTAGTACAGCTTTTAGTAGAGAGATGTCCTTCATCTCCTCAGTGCTAACACAGTTAACACAGATATTTTGGGACTCTTACTAAAGAGGCTAAAGATAGAAAAGGCTTTTAGATTTAACTGCTCTTGCAACCTCTCAAGATTGTCCTTCAAGGTCAGCGTGGGAAGACGTTGATGTGGTCATGACATAGCTGAAGCTATGACTGGAGTCATCTGTGCTGCTGCTCTGTGCAGGAAGGAATTTATGGCCTTTATTGTAACTGACAGTCTGCCAAAAATCTGGAACCCCTCCACAGTAAGGAACATGGGCAGTGAAAGGAAGAGTTAAGCAGAAAGGCAGGAGTCTGAAACACTGAGGCTGAGATGTTAGATTCTGCACAATAATCTCATGTCTTTGGAAGGTATTGCTGTTTGGGATAGCGAAGCTTGTATGCAGTTCTGTTGGTATTCCTTTCTCAGGTTTGTAAACATGTTCACATTCCTTATGTTCCAAGAGCAGTGTGTATGAATTTTCAATTCACCCTCTTCCAGCAAAGTGTCGTTGTCTCTTGTTGGAGCTGTGCGTTTCCATGTTTCAAGCTATTCCTGTTCCTATTCCCAGCAGCAGGGTGGTGTCACTGCTGTCCAGCTGCAGACTGAGGCCCAAGTGGCATCCGCCTCAGGCCAGCAAGTCCAGACCCTCCAGGTAGTGGTGATCTCTCTAATTGTGTTTGTGAGCACTGCATGACTCTCGCCATCACCACATATCTAATGCTGTGTTTTCTCCAGGGTTTGAAAGAGGAACAGGAAAATTTGCTAGCAGTAGTATTTGTGCTTTCTGCAAGGTGTAGGGTTTTCCATGGAGAGCTTTTCCTTGGATCTCAGGTGCATGCCAGAAACCCTCATGCATCTAGGAATTCTGGCTGTATATTCTGAAAGTGAATAGTGGTTGAAATGGGACTTAAAAGACAAAAAAGCCACCAAGATGAGGAAGAACCAATTCAGATACATAACTCAAAAGATTTCCTGTAGTTTCAGGGAGATGGGATTTCTAATACCCACTGTGAGTAGCTGTGTTTTCACTACAGACAGGGAGGTGGTAGAGCTTGGAGAGTGAAACTTTCTTACCTGTGATTAAAAAGGGCACCTGAGGACAGTATTGGCCTCTGTGAGATGGAGACATCTGATTTCTTATTTATGTGTGACCAGCACAGGGAAACCCTGAAGTGTGTATCCTAAACTGGAAAGAACAGTAAGGTCATTTCAAACGCTGGTTTGTTTCAGTGTGGAGTATTTTCTGTCTTGCAAACTCCATTTCATTAGCTCACGTCAGAGGCTTTAAAGGAGCTGAGAAACCCTGCATAGCTGCAGCACTTTAGAAGTGGGGCATTTCTTACTCAGGATTTGGACTCTGTTTGGGTTTGAATTCTTCAGAGGGGAGTTCCAGGAGGCTGGAATGGTCTTGCCAGGTGTAAAGTTGAACACAGCATTTTTTATGTTCAGAGTTCATCTGTAAAGCTGGCTGACATGAATTGCTTGGGTCATTGTGGCCTCCTGGTTGACCTTGTGGGCCCCCCTTTCTTTTTTGTTCTCTTTTCCCCCTGCTTGCTCTAATACATTAACAAGAATCCCGGAATGAATCATTTTTGTTTCTGCTTATTGGATATTGTACCGCTGACTGTGCTTCTCTGGCTGCCATGAGCATGCTTGTCTCCTTCTCTTTATGTTGTGATTCAAAGCAAGCACTGCTGATGTTTGTTAGGGACTTGTATGCCATAGGCTGAGGAACAGAACAGTGGTGCAAGGGTGACTGGAAAGTCACACTATTCTGTGTGGGGTGTTGATCACTGAGGTACAACCGCAGTTGCTGCTGTGGATGTGTTAGTATGCAATTCACTTGGGTGTTTGAACTATGCAAAGTAAAGTGTTTTAGGGGTAGTTCAGTGTGTGCTGGAGCTCTGTGCTGATGTTCAGCCTGGGGTTCTGCAGTGCTGAGTACTGCAGAGGAGTAGCACTCGCTATTGCCTGGTCTTGAAATTTGCAGGTAGAAAACCCAAGAAGTCAGTGAGGTTTAATCAGGTTTTTTAATCATTTCTAAACAACTGAGAGTGTGGCCAAGAGTCATCACCTGGTTCATAAAACTCATTTCACGTTTAAGCCACGGAAGTATGGTATTGGCAAAGATATACTCTGGGGACTTAGCAGGTGAGGGTGTTTAAACAGAGAGGTTTCCTTTGCTTTTCATTGGCCTGTTTCCTAGTGACCAGACACATACCTGATCTCAGTCTCCAGAGACTCTTATGCTGAGTTTACAAATACACTTGTAAGCCTTGTTGGGCCAAGTGGCAGCTGCTCATTGTCTTTCTCTGTTCCTTCCTGAGCTACACTTTGTGTTGTTACATTCATAATTTGACTTAATACCCATGAAAAGGTTCCCTGAGAACATCCCACGCAACATATCAGTTAGGAAATGGAAATGTTGTAAGCATGTAATTGGGGAGAGCTGAAGCTACTTCAGAATCTGTCAGAATGGCTTATTTAGAGCTTTCTCATTAGGAACTCCAATTAAAGATTAGCAAGAGTGATGTGAATAGTGAAGTTTCTTTTATTACACTTTGCTCTTGGGCTGTGCATGAAAGTAGTTATTGTGTCGGGAAAATTTAGCTGTGCTTTTCATGCTTCATTGCAATTAGACTTGGAAGTTTTGGGTAGACTGCAACAGAAAAGGATAATGTACTAAATCCAGTAGCACATCACGGAAAAGAATCTAGAAATTAAAGATACTTGATGGTGATTGTGAACCTGGTTAGTGACTGTTGCACAGTTTCTCTGGTCACTGCATTAAAATAGGTAAGCGTCCAGCCTCCTGTGGGAGCCACCTCAGTTTCTGGCTTCAGGTCACCAGACTTTTCATTGTTGTGTTTGCTTTTTGTCCCTTTTCCCAGGTCCAGGGTCAACCCCTGATGGTACAAGTAAGCGGAGGCCAGCTGATCACATCAACGGGCCAGCCTATCATGGTGCAGGCCGTGCCAGGGGGTCAGGGCCAGACGATCATGCAAGTCCCTGTTTCTGGAACACAGGGGCTGCAGCAGGTGAGATAAGCCTCATTTTATTTGAGATAAACTGCAGAGAATGAACTGGGATGTTCTCACCTCATCAGATATTGTATTTGCCTCTTGAACTAAACTGGGCAAAGCCGGTTGTCCTCCAGCTGTGGATTTGGCAGTGAGCTGCGTGTTAAGAATGCAATGGCAATTCTTTGTGTATTTGATTTTTGTATTTTATGGGATGGTGCAAACCTTTTAAATGAGATCCATTAAAACACAGCTGGAGTTGGTTTGGGGTGTTTGGTTTGGGGCTTGTGTTTGTTCTATTTTAGCTGGCCCTGAACAGCGTAGTTGTGATCTGGTGCCTACTCAGTATATGGCTCAGAAAGATGATTAATTGATTGCTTGAAGAAAGCTTCTTGAAAATAACTCTTGTGCTTGAGTTCATTTAATACGCGATGGCTGAAGGCGAATCAAAACTTTCCTATTGCACAGAAGGTAATCCTGTAGAAGGTACAGAAGATGGATTTTATTAGATTACAAGTATTTGTAATACTTGTCTAAAAGACGGTTTTTGAATTCGAACAGGAGCTCACAGTGTGTTCCTCAGAAGCCAAGGGAAGAGCTGTAACAGTGGCTTAATGAAAGTGTTCTAGTGATTTGAAAATGGGATTTAGGAATCAAGTTGAGCACAGTCCAGGAAGGCATCTGATGTCTCGGTGTTTTGGAAGGTTTATTTAGTGTTTATTTAAAATCCCTTTTGTTGAAAACCAATATATTTTGTGTAAGGTTCTTTACAGTCTGCTTGGTGGAGGAAAATCCGTACCTGAAGCATCAGGTTCAACCCACATTCCAGTTCCTCTTTTTTAAAGTAAGAAATGTTCCACATTGCTGGAAAGACTTCTCTGCAAAGCTGAAGGCAACTTTTATCTATGTCCAGGAGGATTTCTGTATGCTGGATAATTAACACTTTGCAGATTTCTTAAATCTTAGTCCTCTTTCACCTGACTATTATTATTCTGGTTTCATGTAAATAACTTACTTCTTTTGACCGTTTTATTGGGTGAGCAGTGGAGAACTGCTGCGGTATAATGACACCAGCATATTATGTTTCCTCTATTCTGCATGACTGTGACTGCTGTGTCACGGGGAGGAGTAAAGTAAAACTCTTCATTTGAAAATGGAAAAAAGAGAAGAATCAGTGGTTTCATTTTCTTTGCAACAGTAAATCATCCTCAGAGATGATCTGGTAATGCTGAGGCCAAGGAGGGAGAAATAAGAGGCATAGTTAATGTTCCTTTCTGACTCTTTCTTCCACAGATTCAGTTGGTCCAGCCAGGTCAGATTCAGATTCAAGGTGGGCAGGCTGTGCAGGTACAGGGGCAGCAGGGCCAGACCCAGCAGATCATTATACAGCAGCCACAGACTGCAGTTACTGCTGGCCAGACACAGGTAACTGCACCAGCATGAAAGGGTTTTCTTGAGAGGAACAGGAAGAGAAACTTGGCAAATGACTTAAGATGTGGTTAAGAAAAAAGGGGGAAAGGCATTATTAATATTGAGGAGAACTTGAGAATAAATTTCATGTTTTTGTAGTGTTTTCATGCATAACTGGGGCAGAATAAATAGATTGCATGTTTTTATCCATTGTGTTTCTGTACTTTATTGGTTCATGGTCGGTTTTGTCTATTTGTTGCAATTTGAAAACATGAAGTATCACTAATGTCATACTTGCGCCATTTGTGATGTAGTCCAGTCATGCCTGGGGTTTCTGCTGGTTCTTTTGTTTAGGACCGAAATTAATAGTTCTTCTTTTAACATAGTCATAGCAAGACAGGAAACGTAGAACATGTTTCTTTCAATATTAAATATGATACTGTTAGAAAAAGTATGATATATGTGCTTGAGGTGTTTTATCTGCAGTTCAGTGGGTTTGTGCTCCATCCTATTTCTTCGTGCTGGTAATAAAGCAAAAGAAATAGATGCCTGAAACACCTTAAGCACCATGTATTAATTCATGAATTGTAAAAGTTGAAAAGCGAGCAATTTGTAAAGTTATTGTGTTATTTGTTTTGTTTAGACCCAGCAACAAATAGCAGTGCAAGGACAACAGGTAGCACAAGCAGCTGAAGGCCAGACCATAGTCTATCAGCCAGTTAATGCTGATGGAACCATTCTCCAACAAGGTATGAGTTTTGGTGTGAAGAGAGTCAGGACTTCTCAATATCTCTGCCACAGGTGTTCATTGCCTCGTAATCACTGTCAAAGAAAACACTGAGTTGCAGTGCTGGGGTGCTCTGAGTGCAAACAAGCTCTTCGGCAAGGGCTGTTTTCTAACAGAATAGAAAGGTGTTTGCTTTTACACCTTGGAGTACACACATCTTTCACCTGACATTGGGATTACTGAGCAAATACAAACTAGATGATCTCAAGGTCCTTTCCAACCCTAACTATTCTATGATTCTATAATGCTTTTCTGGATCTTTTTGCATGCTGTGGAAGGATGAATGAGTAAAAAGCAGAAGTGGGACTAATGGTGTTCCCTTCTTTTTGTGTGCGTGTTTTTTGGTTTGTTTTGGTTTTGTGTTTTTGTCTTTTCTTTTCTTAAAAGTGACAGTCCCTGTTACAGGCATGATCACCATTCCAGCAGCCAGTTTGGCTGGAGCACAGATTGTCCAAACGGGAGCCAACACCAACACAACCAGTAGTGGACAAGGGACTGTCACAGTAACGCTGCCGGTTGCTGGAAATGTTGTCAATTCAGGTGGAATGGTTATGGTATGTATTGACCTTTCCATTGATATTCTTAAAGGTTTGAAGTTTCAAGTTGCCTGTACACAAACTGTTGTCTGAGATTAACGTCACCTTAATATCGTCAGTCTTCTCAGTAGCATTCATTTAGGATTTAACCAAGGGAAGTTTTGAGCTTCAGTGGCCTGTGTCCTATTGCGACCTGGGTATTCTGTGCTTGCTTTCTCCCACAGCAGATTGAGTTCAGAAATCTAGAAACAGAAATTCAAAATAAGTTGTTAACTGATAAATAAGGCTTAAAAAAACTGAATCAGCTCTTGCTTTTTTTGAGGATTCCTTAGTGTTTGTTTTTCTGATTCCTAAGAGGGCTTTTTCTGCCAGCTCCTTTGTAGTGTGAGGCCTTTTAGCTTGCATTCTGTTCTTCGTCCCCACTAGATGTCAGCAGCTTTATGAGTAATCCTTAAGAAATTACCATATAAATTAAAGAAGTGATAACCGAAGAGAAAGGGAAGCAGTGAGCATGTCCTGTATGCTTAATTGTACAAGAAACAGTAGCACGGTCATAAATTGTACATGGTATTGAAATTTCACCATTATTAAAAGAAAATAAAATCCCCGAGCATGACTTATGAATAATTGTTTTCTTTAAATTTGCTCTTGTTTGTTCTACAGTTTAAGAACAACTTTTATTACTCCTTTTAATTCAAGTAGGTGCATTATCTAAACCAAACCCAAACGCTTTCCATTTTCACGTTCATGGGTTTTCTTTTTTAGTTACTTTTTTTGCATTCACTTTATGTTCTCAGCTACATGCACTAAACCCACATTCTCTGTACAGATGGTACCTGGAGCTGGCTCAGTACCAGCTATCCAGAGAATACCTTTGCCTGGGGCAGAAATGCTGGAAGAAGAGCCCCTCTATGTAAATGCCAAGCAGTATCACCGGATCCTGAAGAGGAGGCAGGCACGTGCTAAGCTTGAAGCAGAGGGAAAAATTCCCAAAGAAAGAAGGGTGAGAATATAATTCCCATCTAATCCAGGGTTGCTCAATGGGAAAGGCATAGAAAACCATTTGTGCTGGAAAATGAGGACTAGAATCTTAGTGATCTTCAGTTACTACTTTTGTGTCTTCATTAGCTACATCAGAGTAATTTTAAGTCACTTGGTGGCAGTAGTGCTTCCTGTGCCTGCTTCTGATTGCTGAATGTGACCGTAGCTGCATTGCAAATGGGCATTTACTGTTAACACTTCATCTTTGGGAAGGATGGGGACTGGGTAGGCTTTTCTAGCAGTCAGGAATTTCCCCTACTCTGAGTGCTGAAGTAGAGATGGTGGGCTGGTCTCATTGCCTGCTTCATCCTGTCACAGAAATACTTGCACGAATCTCGGCATCGTCATGCCATGGCCAGGAAGCGGGGAGAAGGTGGACGTTTCTTCTCACCAAAGGAAAAAGACAGCCCTCATATGCAGGTTGGTGGTGTTTTGTCTGCTCTTTGGACAAGTGCCACTTTCGCTTCTTTACTATACGCTTTGGAAGTGTCTTTGTACTGTTCTGTTTGTTCTTTTTTGGGCTAGGCTGCTGACCTTATTCCCTTTCAGGCAGTGTAAAGAAATAACTGTCTCTGGTAGAGAGCAGGTGTCTGTTTGCCTCGAGTAATTAACTTAACAGTAATACTGATAGAAATGTATTCACTGTGTTGTGCAATCAGAGAAGGCTGTATTTGTCCTAACAAATACAGTCTTTGCAGTCTGGTTGCATACCAGAAGTATGTTTTTAGGACATGAATTAAAAGTAGAGACACCTTATCTGCATCTGCTGGAAAATTAGAAGAGGTGAATATCTGATTCCTAGCTGCATGGTGATTGGCATAAAAAGTGCATGACAGGTTTTCAAAGGAAGGGACACATTAGAGTAGAATTAGCCAATTCTGTTGTTGATTAGTGCTTCAAAGCAGTGCTGTGGCTTCAGCAGCAGATTTCTTTTTCTGAAGTAGAATCCTTCCCAGGTACTCAACCAGTAATAGGTCTTCTCTATCACGAGAAACAAAACATTAGCAGGAACTACTGAGATTTATATATCCCGTTCTCATACACTGGCCTGTAAACACCAGGAAAAATATGACATGTTCAGAGATCAAGGAGCGTCAGGAGTATCTCCTCTTGATAGTTGTGCATGCTTCTCTCTGCTGTTACAGGAAAATATTGATGTTACAACCTGGTATGTATTTTGTATCTGTAGGATCCAACTCAGACCAATGAAGAAGCAATGACACAGATGATCAGAGTGTCCTAACTGCTGCTTAAAGAAAAAATATAACTGAGTAGGATTCCTGTCCCCTCTGCAAGTCTCTCCTCTCTTTCCAGTGTATCAAGCAAGTCTTTCAATGGGACGTTCACCATATCACAGCCCATCGTTTTCTACAGAACAAGCACCACGTTGTCAGTATGTGGGTTGGGATTTTAACTGCAGTTCACTCAACAGAAAAAAAACACTCAAACTTACTGACTTTCTTGGTATACTCTTCTGATCCAGCACAGGGATTTCAGAGGCTGAGCAGTGCTCATGCCTTTGTTTCCTTCTTTTAAACATCTCTTGCATTAAGATTGGCCATAGGTGAGAGTGTGCTGCTGACTCGGTGATCAGCAATAACTCTGGCATGCTGAAGCAGGGGCAACAAAGACTTCTTGGAGTTATGGCCCTTCTGTACAGAGACTTCATCCAGCTTCTAGCAACCAGCACCAATGTGGCTACACCACACAAAACTACTTTGTTTTCCTGCAGAAACTTGTTATTTACATCCACTCCTTACACCTTTGGACTTCACTGTCAACTGGACTGTTCCCTGTTGTTGCATCTGCACTTCTGAACTGGCAGAAACTGAAGGGGGATTCTTTTAAGTTCACCTTGTAAAATATGTAAAAAGCAAACTCTTCTCTGGGAAGAGTTCAGCAATCTAATCACCATGATAGAAATATTTCATGATCCCTGCAGGAGTTGATATATTGTGTATCTGTTCCAAGAAGTAAGATGGGAGAGGGTGATGCGGGGATAAGGATTTAATTGTTAACAGCAGTCTCTGGGTGGTTTTTGGTATGTTTATTGCCAGTAGTTGTTGCTTGGAAGAGAAGTGGGTGCTAGTATAGAAAGGTTTAAAACTTTTAAGTGAGTCTCTTCCAAAGGATTCCTTCTAACCTGCCCATCCAGTGCGTGGTTCCTCCAAAAGACATAAAATCTGCATAAAATGTGAGTGATAGCACTTGACCATCTTTGTGATGGTGTTTCTTGATGTCTGTTCTAAATCAGTTCTACAGTTCTCTCGTTCTACAAGGAGTGAGGGATTTTATGGCAGCAGAAGCGTCGGGAGACCTAACTCAGCTCATCCTGGTGTAACTGAGGAGCTGTTAAACACAGGAAGGCAGATATTGATGAACCTTTCAGGCTTTTGATAGACTGCCCTCTTTAAATAAAAAACAAAGTGGCACTTAATCCATTTTTTTAAATGTAAGTACTCCTCTTTATTTTTCATGACCAGTCGCTGGCTTCTGCCTGTGTGTCCTGACAAAACATATCTTGAATTCCACAGCTCATTCTGGATTTTAAGCTTGCTCCATTCTTACTGATTTGAAATTTGGCGATGGAAGCTGTGGTTCATAAGCATTTTAACAGGTGATACTTGCATCTTTCTTTCTCCTCCCATCATGTGTGAGTTCTAAGATGCCCTGTGTATCACCTGCATTCTGCCGTCCCATCTCTTCCGGTTCTTGTGGTCTGTAGTTCAAACACAAAACTGCCAGGAGTTGAGCATGGGATTGGCAGTATTGCCAGGCGTTGTCACTGAGGAGGTAGTGATGAACCCAATAGGTAAAGCTGCAGCGGCCAGTATGGGTTCGAGGAAGGCAGCCAAGGATGGGTGAGACTGGTTTAAATTCAGTGAACTCTGTTTTCAAGTAAATGCAGCTTGAAAAAAAACAAGCCCATATTATTTCTTGTCCCCTCTGCTTTTCACATTCACTTAAAGCTTATGACTAGGTACAAAATGGAGGACAAATCAGCAAACTGTAGAAGACTGAGAGGATACAGAAGGACAGAGCCTTGGAAATTCTATTTACTTTAGATAAGAAAGAGAAATTCTGGACCTAAGAGTGTGAGAAGGTGGGAAGGAATGCAAGAAGAGGGAGCAGAAATGTGGAGAAATGCTACATTCTACATTGCCAACAGGCAATCTTGGAGGAAGAGCATGTCAAGATACTAAGGATGACAGCATTTAGGTCAGCCACCCATGGAGGTACATAGCCAGTGAAAGAACACAGCAATGCAGATCTGGCATTTGTAGCAGGCAGCTGGATTTTCTAAGTGGAGTTCAGTTCATTTTCCTGAAGCTTTAGTGCCATGTTCCTGCCCTTACCACTGCTGACGTGGTGAACTGAGGCTGAGGAGGAAGCTTGGGCACACGGTTGACACCTGCAGCTATGGGAGGTGGTGGCCAGTTCTTGACATGCAAATAAATCTGTTAATTTTGTCTTAAATGCTATGAGTTACCTAAGGCTCTGCTCACAAATCTTAACGTTAGGGGTTTTCCCTAGTGGTTGAAAAGGCATTTGTTTACCTCCATTGCATTAATGGCATCTTTGGTGCTCTTGGTTGCTTCTGCCTTAAAATACTTGCCCAGTTTGAGCACGGTGCTTCTGTTCTTCAGTTGGCGACTATGAAATGCTCACCCATTTCAGGAAATACGTAGCTCTCTTAGTGAAGGACTAACAAAGAAAAAATCTGCTTTATTTGAATTTGCAGCATTATTGTAAATATTTTTTAAGCGCATCTGTACAGTTGGTCAGTGAAATATTCATGTGCTGGAGGCTTATTTCTGTGCTGGAGTAAGACAGCCTCTCCATAACGTTTCTGCTCTTCAGGTCACAGCTGATCTCTGTCCTGGAGAGCTCCTTCTGAAAATTGGAAGTCAGGAAAGCAAGATTATTGCTCTGACAGGTATTTTTTTTAATGAATAATTTCTTCTTTTCTTAAAGAACTTGTAAACTTCAAAGCAGCTAGGATGTTTTTCCCACTAAGCTCTTCTAGATAGGTTTTCTGACCCGTTGTTGTAGAATGTGTGTTAAGACCTCTGGATTTGTGTTACATAGGAAGTCTTATTGTTAATACTTTCAATAGTGATGTGAAAGCCTGAGTGCTACTGTCCTGTTTTTCCTTTGCTTTGGGTTATATGTATCACTTCTAAAAGTAGTGTTTGCTTGGCGAGACTGGAGTTATCGGTCAACACCATGTTTACCAAAACTGCTTTCTTTTCCTGGATAAATGGGTTAAATTGGAGACGTCATCAAGTTCAAACCTCTAGTAATTAAACGGGAATTCTTTGTAGATTTGCTACACTTGATCAGATCCTCCCATTTTGGAGAGCATAAAAGAGAGGATAAAGGAAGAGGCTCGGGAATAATTGTGGTCGATTGACCCAGAGAGCACTGGAGTGGCGAACCGATCAAAAACCAGTTTAATGGGAGTGTGAAGAACGGGGTTTGGAAAGCGGTCCCCAGGCGATGCCATGCGGCTGTAAGGCCCTGCATGTTAAAAGGGGGCGAGAGGAGTCTTCTCTTTGTGAATGGGTGTGGGGAGGGTACCGAAAGGAATGAAACGTGAGGCAAAGTTTGTATATAGTTAAAAGTTTATAATTTTTTTTATATAATGCATTTTTTCAGGTGTATTTCGGTCTTTAATAGATGCAATTGTAAGTACTGTGTACACTCTGCAGCTAATAAAAGTTTATAAACCAAGAACAAGCTTTGCTGCTTTTTCAGACCTCTTGAGCCAAGCGGCAGCAGTGACACGGGGCAAGGCAGGCAGTGCTGAGGAGCAGCCAGCAGCCGCTGAGCTCTCTCGCCCTCCATGAGGGAAGGCTGTGGGCAGCGGACATCTTGGTGTTCCTCTGCTCCATGCCCATCCGCCATCTTGCTGCCTGAGGCACCGCTGTGCCCGCCCTTGGGGCCAGGCTGAGGGTGCTTATTGGCTGGGGGTTGCTCTGGGACACCTCTGATTGGCTGGTGAAGAGCACTCTTCCTCACAGCCTGAGGAGAGCAGTGTCTCAAGATGGCGGCTGTGGGGTGGGTTGTGTCTGAGGAGGGGCTGCCAAGGGGCTTTGCCTCCCCACTCAGAGCCCAGGGAGTACGATTTATTATACGATTGTTAGGTTCTTACAGTGCACTTAGGGCAGTGCTCTTAGCAGTTAACAGCAGGTACCAGAGGAAGGTGCCCAACCATCAGTTCTGTATTTGTGTACTCCCTATCGGAGATTAAAACAGTCCTCTCAGCGTTTACTGCTTTTGAAGTGAGACAAGAAACAACTGTTTCAGCAGCTATCTTACATTTGGTGTGAGTTTTAACTAGAAGGACAGAAGAGACCTTTTGAGGCACCAAATGGAAGGTATTGATTAATAGAATCATAGAATAGTTCGGGTTGGAAAGGACCTTAAGATTATCCAGTTCCAACCCCCCTGCCATGGGCAGGGACACCTCACACTAAACTGTATCACCCAAGGCCTCGTCCAGCCTGGCCTTGAACACTGCCAGGGATGGAGCATTCACAACCTCCCTGGGCAACCCATTCCAGTGCCTCACCACCCTCACAGGAAAGAATTCCCTCCTTATATCCAATCTAAACTTCCCCTGTTTAAGTTTTAACCCGTTACCCCTTGTCCTGTCACTACAGTCCCTAATGAAGAGTCCCTCCCCAGCATCCCTATAGCCTCCCTTTAGATACTGGAAGGCTGCTATGAGGCCTTAGTCCTAGAAGAAACTCCTGTCCTCTTAACATCCTGTGCTCTGTCCATCTGATACAGCCAGTTCCTTGGGCGCTGCAACTTGTCTTCCTGTTGCCATCAAAGGAGGGAGAAGGCGGGAGGACGTGTGAGACATTAGCCAGGTACGTGTTTATACCATTATTCAACAGCCAAACCAGAACTAGGTCTCTAACCAGCTGTCTCTGACAGGCTTATCTGAAGACACAGCCAGGTTTGTCATGTCTCAAATGGCCAGAGGCTGCTCGTACCCATTAAACCATTCCTGAATGTGGTTCCACAGCTCAACAGAAGTGGATTGGGTGGGCTGCTGGTGCTTTCCAAACTTAGCTACCAAAGATGCCCATTTAAATTGGGTCTGAAGATAATTCTTCCTTCATTATAGGCAGTTCAGGTTACGAGCAAGTCTCCATCATTTGCACAGAAGGAAAATACCTGTAAGATGTTACAGATTTAGGAAGATTTGACAATGTTTCTTGTGTCTTTATTTTAAATCAGGCAGTTACATTTTGATAGTTTGTGACAGGGGACTGACAACATCTATAGAGATAAACTGCCCCTAGAAACACCCTCGAATTTCTCATATGATAGCAGATCATCTTCAGCTTTTTAGGCAGAAAGACATGTGCACCAGTGAGCTTCTCTATTAAGTTGGTTATTCATCTTCTATTATTTTAGGATCGAAGGCCCCCAGCCTTGTCACTGTGTATGCCATTGCATCCTGATGAGGGTCTATGCAGGCAAAGGTTCAGGTGCTTTCAAACAGACAAGTAGGATAAATAAGGAGTCAGATTTGTGTGCTGCAGCCTCTTACATTAACTGTTGGTCGCTGCTGTTGTGCATCATGTCAGACCTTAATGGTATGGTCCCTACACCAACACTTCAGACAGCTCAAAAGTGACCCAAAGCACAAGGGTGTCAGCCATTCATTTTAACAGAGCTGGTTAATGCAGCTGGTGTGGGTTAAGCTCGGAAAAATTAAAAATAGCAGCATGCAAGAACAGAAAATGGGAAGCTGGCACAGGAAGGGAGGGATGCACTTGTGCAAGCCTGTTTAGGAAGCCAGAAATACGTTTCTTTAGCTATTATTAATGGCAAAAAGCTTCCTGTCATGTAGCCACACCAGACCAGTCAACACAATTTCCTTCTTCCCTACCCCTCTTCCCCCTTCAGAATTGTACAAGCACTCGCAGGCAGAGTGGAGTTTCTGTGCTTCATGGATGTGTTCTCTGCCTTTTCACATTCCTTTTCCTCCCATGCCACCCAGTACCGAGGTTGGAGTCTTCTTGGGATCTTAATACCAAAACATGAAACCTATTTTTGTACCATATTTGGCACCCTCGGGCTCCAGCTCATAGAATGCAGATGAAAATCTCAGTCAGATGGCTTTTGGGATTTATCCATAATCCCTAATGAACGTTTGCAGATAGCGTCATGATAACAGGATTGAGGAGGTCAATCAGTGTGTGTGTAATTTATTACGGGTTTATATTGCAGCATGGGTGTGGTATGATTAACAAGCACCAAAGGCAAGGAAATACGGAGTTATTTCTTTGTCAAAATAACTAATTTGGGGTGTAAATTCTACACCCATGTGTTCAAACTGAAGGCAGTTTATACTATAAAGTAGACAAATGTTTTTCCACAGGACCCTTGTTTAGTAAAACACGTCAAGTGCATTACTTGTGTGTTTCAAGCCCTCCAGTGACTGGCACTGTATCAGTTGCTACCAGAGAGAAGTAGTTTCCTGTATTTGGGTTTATAGTTGCCTATTGTTTAAAAATAGAGTGATTTGGAAAAAGAAATACACCCCAGCCTCCCACTAGATTTGCTTACCAAAACTGGGATGCTGGACTATTAGAAAGTGCAGGTATTTTTGTCAGGGAAAGTTTGTGGATCCATGTGCCTCAGCATTTCAGCTGTGTTGTGCCTCACACCCCAGACACATGTGGCCTCAGCAGCTGGTTACAAATTGGTAAGTTCAGCAAAATTCTGTGACTAAGCCCAAGGCTTTGGGCTGCTTTGCTGAGGTGGACCTGTTTCCAGTTCCAGAATGGGGAGCTGTATCCCCATGGTGTGTCCATCTCATGCAATGAAGGAGCAGAGCTAACACCAGCACAAAGAGAACTCGCAGAGGACAAGGAAATAAGCATCCCCAGGATGATGATCACTGGAGATGAAGTTGGGGTGGCAAATGGGAAATCTGGATCCCTGCTGCCCTTTGTGGGCAGGGGCTGTCAGGCTCCAGGGCTGCTCTCAGGTTCCCTGGGACCCCTCAGCTGATTTCTTATGCCTTATACAGGTCTTCTACATGAGTTATCAAAGCTTTTCTGTGTGAAAGGTTTCTGTGACTGGAAAACACTTTTAACTGAATGGAAACATTTGTGCAAAAGCTGTTTTTTAGTTCTCATCGACTTGAAAAATTGCTGTCCCAAACCCATTTGGTTTTGATTAATACAATCCTACAAAATGGTATTCAGTGGTTTTGATGGGAATCCATAAAATATTATTTTCTTTTTATTTCCTTTGAGACTTTTTTATTTCATATGGCAAAAAATAATTTCCTGGCCACTTCTGCCTCTAGATACATACAGGTACGTATTGTGGTTCTGTGTTGAACTATATAATGGAGTTTTACCCTGTCCTTGATAACCTCTAGTGGGATCTTTATGTCTTGGTACACCACCTTTTGCTGTAAAGCAAAAATGGAAGTGACACATCATTCTTGATTTAGCTGTCTCCCACCCTGTGCGCTGTTCACCTTGTAGCTCACCCTCAAGTGAAACCACTACCTGTATTCTTTCCAGCAGAATATTTTTGACATCACCCATAGAGATACGTGCCAGAATTCTCTCTTGGGAGTCCTGCCATGGTTCCAGGGCACCACAGTTACCATGTGGGAATACTGAAGCCAGGTTTTGTCAGTACAGCTGCAGTGGTGTGTGGCTGTGGATGGGCTAATTTAGCCTCTGGAAATGAGTTTAGCCAGAGCACAACCATGGAGCGCCTTATCTGGTTTGGGATCTGAACTGCTGTTTCTGCATGGTGCTAAGTGGGGGTGCATATACCAACCTGCCCAGCTGGGTCAGAGCACTTCTGCAGAGCATAAACACACCAGCACATTCTAAGTGTCACCTCTTCTTTGGGTGATGTGCTGTGACCTGGTGTACTGCAGCTCTTCATCATGGCTCCACACAAAGTCAGATAATCAGTTTGATTTTATTTAGCTTTGCAAGCAGTGCAGGGAAAAGAATGTGAATGCCCTTGGGTTTGGGGTCTTTCTGGGAGAGCAAAATGCAACCTCACTTTGGGGAACGATGAGCAATGATCACGTGTTGGTAAACATCCCCTTAAGAGGGTAGAAAAAATACAGGGAGAAATACAGAGAGCCAGTTCATTCTGTCCTTGCAAAGAGAACTTTGTGTTTTGAGAAAGAAGGAAGCAGGCTCAGGGCTGCAGGGAGACTTCCCATTCCATTCTGTTATGTTCCGCAGTCCCTTGCACCTTTCCACAGTGACTGTTCACCAAGGATCCACACAGTGTTCAAGGCAGTTTCTGGGAGTTAGTCTTCATCACCTTGGAAAGACAGGCTCTGTCACCTGGCACTGCTCTTAAATGGCCCGAAGTTGGTGGGTCTCAATGCAGACCCTGGTGAAATGATAGGGGGATGAGTATCTGGAATAACTGCCTGATGGTGCTGCTGCTGGAGAGCACAGCAGAGCACTGCATTCCCAAAGGCTTTAAAGAGTGGAATCTTGGTTAAAATACTGATTTTTAGACAAATCTTAGCTTTCAGTAGAAGCCATCTAGTTCTGGTTGTGCTTTCGTGCTTTCAGGGAAAGCCTTTGAGTGTTTTGTGGAAACATGTAGGACACCTTGAAAAAAGCTGAAGACAAGGAAATAACCAGCCCTAGTCTGAGGAGGGTGATCACTAGAGATCAAATGGGAAACCTGGATCAGTTCTTTATCACTGATTTCCATGAATCAGGAAAAGGTTCTTGAAGATTTGAAACAGAAATGTGTCTTTCCATTTTTTACATTATGAGGATGTGTGTGTGAGTTGCTCAACACGTTGTGGTTGAGATGTGTTACCTAAACTTCTGGTTTTGTCACTGGTGTATCTGTAGCTTTATTTCTAACAAAGCATGTAAATTTACCAGCTGTACAGAGCGGTTTTTTCTGGCCTAGCAATGAGCTGGTGGGAAACTGAGCAGAGCTGCTCACCCTCCATGTGCCTGGGGAAGCATCTCTGCACACAGATAAGCCTGTGTTGGATCTCTTGACAGAAGGAGTTCATGTTCCTCTTTTCCCCCAGCCCTCGATCCCATCCTCTTCCTTTAGGTTTGGGTGCTACTGGCAGCATCTTTTCAGTTCAGTTGTGCTGGGAAAAGTTGGTCATCGCTAAGAAGAGGTGGCAGATGGTGACATTCCCTCTCCAGAGCGACAGGTTCAGCGGTGCCTGTGTTTAGTAGGCGATTCTTTTCTTACAGCAGGTGGCAAAGCTTTGCCTGCAAACATTTGATGGTCATTTCCCTGTGACCTCCCTTTGGTGTGGCTCTAAGCAGTGCTGTCCCAGGAGGGGCTGATTCCATCACCAGCGAAAGGGAGGACCTGCTGCTCACTCAGCCTTGGGTTCGTCCACTCTGTTTCTCTGCTCTTCCTGCTGTTGCCAATGATAAAGATCAGCACAGCCACCAGGAACTTAGAAACCAGTAATCCAGCAAGGATATAGAAGACAGTGAAATCAGCTTCAGGAGGGATGCTGTGGGGAACCACAAATACAACAGTGAAGGGGATGGTTCAACTTTTGAAAGACAGCATTAAAGAAACTCATAGTACAAATGTGAAGATGGTAACATGTGCAACAGGCAGTCCCTGCCTGTGCACAACAGAGCCTGGTTATCTCACATACAGATAAAATTATGATCTGCAGGATTTGTTTTGCTTGACACTTAAGCACTGTGTTTTCCAAATTAGGATAAAAACCTTAGAAACCACACAGCAGCTCTAGGAATTGTCATGGATTAGGAACAGGTAGAAACTATGCCTGTGGTGCTGTTCCTCTCAACTTCTAATAGGGTTGCCAATGCTAATCTGCCTTAGTCCTAGGAATATCAGAGATCACAGCATGAGGAGTTCTGTGGTTTACCTGGAGATGCTGTGCACAGCCCTGGGCTCCTCTGGCATTTGAGTCTCCAGGACAGCTGATGACAGAAACAGAACAGTTTAGTCTGCAGATGTTTGTGGGTGATGCTCATTGGTGTCACCTACACCAGTGCCCCTGCAAGGCACAGGTAACCAAGGGGAGACTAGCCACTGGGCTAGCTTTTAGAAGGTTAATCTGGGTAGCAATAAAGGGATGACATGTAAAAGGGATGTCCTGTAAAAGTGAGGTCATGTTACTGTAAATCAGGAACTAAAAAGAGGCAATGAAACACAGTTCCTCCTTAGAGTAAGACACAAATAGATGTCTACTGAAGTGAGGCCTTGGCATCTGCAGAACCTGTGAACTCAGAGCCTCGGGACATACCTGTCAACACTTCCACTTGCACCTTCCTTAAGCTGTTTGTTTCCCCCAGGTAGTCACTTTTGCACTGGTACAACCCAGCATCCTGCTTCTTGAGTCCCTTTATGGTGACTGTCAGGACCCCTTCACGGACGTTGTCACTGATAGAGGTGGTGCCATTCCTGTTCTTTAGGAAAGGCAGCCAGAAGCGTCGAGCACTCACCACGTGTTGGCACTTGGTCTCATGGATCTGCTTGCACCAACTCTTTTCTCTCCATCGCTGCTGCCAGGGGTTATAGGTGCAGTTGACAGAAATGGTGTCCCCCTCCATTCCATACACCACAGTGATATTCTCTGCTGCACAGGCTGCTAGGAGAGAAGGAGGAGCATGAAGCTGGGCATTTAGGTAGACTGAGTTGGCACCACACAAGTTGTCTTGCTTTTTAAAAGCTCTTTTTACAAGGCAGCTCCTAAACCAATGTTGCCAAGCTGTGTGTGCCTCTTATTGGGCTGTGGCATCCCTGCTTTGCCATGTCCAGCTGCAGCAAGGCAGCTCACTTCAGGATTTGGCCTCGAGCACTTCCACGCATGTTAACAGATGCAGAGTTGGCTCTGGAATACCCCCTGCTGCAGAAAAGCTCCTTTGCAGTAAAGGCCCGTGAGGTTTAAGGCTCTTTACACAGCTCTGGAAATACTAAAATCACTGTGACACCTCCAAACCCATGCCCAGCTAACTGCTTAGGAGGTTATTTCTTAATCCCACTCCTAATTTCTAAATCTAGAGGTTTAGCTTTTTTTTTTTTCACCCTATCTTTTAATATCCTGCTAATTTTTATTATGTTGACAACTGGTCTGTGGCTGCTTGGCTTTTTATTTGGTCTTAGCTCCTTATTCGTAATCTCCATTCCTCTTGATGGTTGGCAGAGGCAGAGGGGGCAGTCTGAGCTATTCATACTTCCAGAGAGAAGTGCAGTGTGGTATTTGTGGAAATCCCTGTTATTTCTAGTGAAGAAATTCAGATGTTGGTGCCTTCTGTGAAACAGAAGTGATGATAACACAGAAAGAAATTAAAAAGCCAGACTTTGGGCTGGCTGAGCCTTTTAATAACACTTCTTAAAATCATTTTAACCATTCTAAGTGAATTGTAAACTAAACAAATCTGAAGATCTTTCAGCTTGACTAGAAGGCAAAAATACGCATTAGTGCTCTCCAGCACACTCAGGTCTTTATCCTGATCTGTTGCCCTCCTCAGTTATTTCAGCTGAGGTTTACCCCCGACATGTCCAGTCCTGTCCTGTGTGATCCCACTTTAACTCCCTCTCCTATCCCTTGTTACCCCCTCTTCACCTTCAATTTTGCCCCTCCAGTTCCAGGAGTGGCCCCAGGGTTTGGGGCTTTGGCTTTGTTTTAAATAGAAACAGCACTGCAAAAAAAATCTCTTCATCCAAATCATGGCATTTATAAACTTGCTGATGCCCCTGTGGAACACTTTGTATCATCCTCTTTTCAACCAATTCTGCTGACACATCACTTACTATTTGTATTCCTCTTCCTTTCATGTGTGCTACTGAAAAAAGGATAGGGCACTACTTTCCCAAACTCATTCAGATTTTTGAGGCAGGTTTCTGCACTCCCAAAGCCTGAACCTTTCACCAATGCCCTTCTGTGCATTGCTGTAAGTACCTGGGACCTCCAAAGTGTGCCTGGAGGGAGAGGGTGCCAGCTTGGTCCTGTGCCTTGTGCAAGGTCCTTCCCAAGCTGAACATAGTCAAGTGCCCAAGTCCCCTTCGCTGAGCTTTCTTTGCCTCCTCTCAAACCTGCCTGCTGCAATTTATATTCCAAGCCCTACAAATGGGCATTAACAGGATTTTGCAGTTTCACCCAGGACTTCTGTCAGCAGTGCTTCCTGTCTGACTCAAAAGGATCCCGGTGGGAAAAGCTGAGCACTTGGATCACCCTTTGGTAAATGAATGGAAAAGCACAAACTCTTAGGAAGGAGTCTGGCATCCCTGCAGTGTAAGTGGGGAGGAAGAATAGGATGTAGAACACACTGCAGTGTTCCAGGGTCCCTCTGCGTGCATTGCCCTGGACCTTGCAGTGCTCAGGCAGGCAGGAAGAGTCTTTACCCTACCAAAGGTACCCTAGCCCAAGTTCTGCATCAATCCTTCACCCTACCTGTTAACTGAAACCCAAGGCCATGTATGCTTTCTTACCTGGTAAGGAGACCAAGAAGATGAGGTGCACGAGCTTCTCCATGTCAGCTGAGCAGAGGAGGCAGGAGAGGAGTCTGGAGAAAAGTGGAAAGGGCTCTTGCCCAAGAGCAGCTTGCTTTGCCCCCTCCTTGCTCTGCCGGAAGGAATGAGCACAGGAACTTGGCATCTTTTTTGTCCTGCATATTGAGCAATTCACCAGGGATGGACAATTCTTCCGTGGGCTGCAGATTCAGGCATCAGCACTGCCCATGCACAACCACAGTTTAGTCTAGACAGCCTGAAAGAGAGCATCATGTGATGGCCTGAAAATGTGGTGCTGGGAGCCCCTCCCAGCCCAGCCTTGGAGCCTGTCCACCAGAGCAGGCTTTGCATGGAGTGAATTCCTGCAAAGCCAAAAGGTGGCTCTCAGGGAGACTGCAGGTAGCTCAGGCAGCATCACAAGGCTGAGAGGTGGGCAAGGACATCCCCTTCTGGGTTATTTTCAGGAGAAAGAAGGTTTAGAAGAGCCTTCACATGAAGCATTCCTATCTGACACCTAACCAAAGGCAAGAAGACAAGAACACGGTGTTGGGTGAAGCTGTGAGGTGCTTTATGTGAGCAAACCAGACATCTTTATTTTGTATGGAGCAGAAAGCACAGATTGTGGCATGGGGGCACTGACTCGGAGGCAGTCAGTGCTCAGGAGGGCAGTTGGAGCCTCCTGTGATGACAGCAGGCTGGTAGGCTGTGGATGGTGCTGGTTTTTCTTTCTTGAAGTTATTTACTTGGAGTAAATGAAAGTACAAGTAGACCCTTGGTAACGTGTGTGCTTATCTGCTTCACAGGCAGATAAACCCCACACTTCTCTCCATTCAGAAGTGCCTTCTTTTTCTTTCCTCTAATTACAGCTTAAGGAAATGGTACCTCACAGTGTCCAGACAGTCTCCCTGAGGCTGGCTGCTTGCAGGTTTTGTTCATTCCTGCTCCAGTGAGCACAATTTTGGGTTCTCTTTGATCAGAAGCAGCTGTCTTCCTGAAAATGTCTCTCTTCCACTCAATTGTTTTCCACTCTTACTCTTCCACTGTTCAACCCAGTGTAACTGACTGCATGAATAGCAAATAGTTTAGGGAATCTAGGGCTAAAGGAACTATTTCCAGAACCATTTTCTTTTTCTTGCTGTCATTTCAACTCTGAAAATCTCAAGAAATACATCAGCTTCCCTGCTGCAGCCATAGCAAGAGAAGCCTTTTGGATGTGACTGGCTTGTGAAGAGGAGTGGGTTCAGGCTCCTGCAGAGCTGGGTGCAGCTAAATCAAGTGCCAGAGTTTCTGGTCTTTTGGAGAAATGGAGCTGAGCCCCAGCAAACTCACTGCACATTGCTCACCACATGATTGCTAAGTCAAGGCAGCAGATGTGTCATCTGGAGTGTTTCCAGCAGAGAGAGGGAAGTAATGGCATCACTTTCCAAGGGGTGCTCTCCCATGAAGCTGCATGAAAGCCCCAAGAGCTTGTTTTCTGTGGTGAAAGCTCTGCAGAACCTGTCTGTGAGGAGCAGCTGAGGGAACTGGGGGTGTTCAGCTGCAGAAAGGGGGCTCAGGGGTGACCTTGCTCTCTACAACTCCCTGAAAGGAGGTTGTAGCAAAGAGGGGTCAGTCTCTTCTAATAGGAGGGAGGTCTTAAAATGCTGTCATGGTTTAAACCCAGCCAGACAGCTTGTTCACTCATTCCCCCCTTTTTCCTCCCTCTTTCTTTCCTTCCCTTCCCCCCCCCCCCCCTTCCCCACTCCTGGGGGGATGGGGAGGAGAATGGAAAGAATGCAACTCCCACGGGTTGAGACAAGAACAGTCCAGCAACCAATGTGCAACACAAATCACCACCGCTACCAGCAATGACAACAATGACAACAATGATAAGAGAAAATAACAAGGGAAGAGAAAACGATGCCACCTGCTGAAAAACGAGTCCGACCCAGAAGACCCCGTGTCCTTCTGGGTAACTCCCAGTTACCCCCCCAGGCATGACGTGCTGTGGTATGGAATACCTCTTTGGCTAGTTTGGGTCAGGTGTCCTGTCTCTGCTTCCTCCCAGCTTCCCCTCCTCCCTGGCAGAGCATGAGCCTCACAAAGTCCTTGGTCAGGGTAAACATCACTTAGCAACAACTGAAACCATCGGTGTTATCAGCACTGTTCCCAGGCTGAAAGTCAAAACACAGCGCTGCACCAGCTACCAAGAAGGAGAAAAATGACTGCTACTGCTAAACCCAGGACAAATGCATAGGCAACATACACATGGCAGCAAAACCTTAGATCTACGCCCAGTGTCCATCCACACACCTTCTACTCCCCATTCCCACTGTGTATTCCAGTACTTTTCTCCCATTTCTGGATCGTTTTGGGATTCTGTGCTTCATCCCTTGTCATTTGTTGTTAACTGCTTGACCGCAATGGTAGCATATTCCACGTTTTCATCCTTGGGTTTCCTGTGAACCTCACTTAGTTCAACATTACAGTAGAGAGGATCCTCAGGGCTGAGCTGGGATTTAAAGTTCAGGGTGACATACTTTAGGTCTTTGCTGTTGTCCCTGGGACTTCGCAGTCTTTCATAGCTCTCAGGCTATGGAAAGAAAGGTAAAACACTTGTTAGTGTGATTCAGCTGTTATCAGACCATTGGTAAGGAATTTGGTACCACAGGGAATATCTGATGTTTTCCTTACCTGGGCTGTGTTGCCTGGTTTCTCACAGGTGTCCTCTCCATCTCTGTTCCCTTTGGAATGAGCTAAAATCAGAGATTGTAAAAGTAGAGAAGTCCATGAAATGCCTGGGCATTGCCTAAGCTTCAGGAGTTTGAGGGAAGGCTGTGGGATTGCCCAGAGATAGAAGCAATGGGGGTACCCGTGGGACCCATCTACCACATTGCTCCCACTTTACTTCTCTGTCATGTTAGGAAGTGTCATGTGCAGAGTCTGGAGGAGCATGGGTTTGTCTTATTGTCAGAGGAGCTCACAGCAAAGAGCCTGCCTTGAGGCTTCCCAGGCAGCAGCTGCCTCATCTTCTCCAGGGGACTGTGAGTTGGGAATAAGCTCGCCCGGAGTGGAAGAGAGATGGCCAGGAAAGGCCCTGCTTAGTCCAGACTAGAACACAAGGCATTACCAGACTCCACATACCTGTTGCGTTCAGCTGCTTGCAGCGCCTGACATACAGTGTTACCAAGCTGATGAGTGCCAGGAGGAACAGGATGCTCAGGATCCCAGACAGCAGGATGAAGGTGTTTCCATTTGAGCTGAAGCCAGGAGAGCAAAGGAGTTACCAGTGTTAGACAGTAGCACAGCGTGATGCTGTTGCAGCCCATTATCAAGCTGTGACCACAAAAGAGACAGGAATAGCTTTAATGCCCGAGGTTTTATGCACTTGAAAGGAGGGCCTGGTTCTCCTGCAGCAATGCTCTCTTGGTTTCTCTGTGGCTGTGCCTTCTAAGCTTTTCCTAAACTGTTCTCCAGCCTTTAAAAACGAGGCACTGTTCAAAGTTCAGAGCACAGTACCAGCTTTCTGGAGCAGGTACTGCCTTTCCCCCCTGTGTTTTGCTTCACCTGAGCTGATGTATGGTTGTACTCTTAGGTGCTGCTGTAGTGTCGATGACAGCAGATGTCCAAACGGGAAGAAAGCCCTTTCTATTTAACAGCCTGGTAAATAGAAGGATAAAACAGCAGCCAAGGACTATTTTATTGTTAAATATTCATGGCCAGGAGTAAGCAAAGTTGAGACAGAAAGGCTTAGGGGCAGACTCTGGGGGTTTCTATGGCTACAAAAAGCACAGTGCAAAGATAGGATAAAAAGGTAAATAGGCATCTACATTCCAGAAAGCTGTCTCTTGATTTTATCAATCTACTTCTTCCTTTGTAATTATACCCTGGGCGGGAGCTGGAAGAGGAGGTGCCATCTTTGGTAAGGACCGTGGTGTGTAATTCCTCTGGGAGCAGGATGCCCAGAGGCTGCCTGCCCCAGGCAGACACATGTATTTTGGAGGAGACACTGGTAACTCTTGTATGTGGTCAAGCTCAGAGACTTTCTGCAGGCCTTACCTCGGGGCTGGGCTGTTGGCAGCAGGGGTTGCTTGACTTGTGCTTGCAGCTCCTGGCAAAGTTGTTCCAGCCAGTACTGCAATCACAACATGAAGAGAAGAATTACCACTACTGAGTTGCTTTGCATTCACCAGCTGAACTTCCCTGCCATTCCCACCATGGATATAAATGCATTCCCACTGCGACACCCTGCACAGGGAAGCTGCCTGGGCTGTAACTTGTGTCACTGGGACACATTCTGGCAGCAGGGATGGGACTAGAAGGATCAGAATATGGGAGGGAGGGGCAGGAGCACAGCAGGAGCCCTACATGCTCTCAGTGCAAGCACATCTGCTCTATGGGCAAGATCTTGAGGTAGCAATGATGAACTTAATGACTCTGCTTAAGCAGACAGAGGCTTGTGAAAACTAAGCAAAGAGCATTGGCTGTGCAAGACCCAGTTGTAAGAGCTGCTCCCAGGCCTGTTCCATGCCCAGGGAAGGTTGTGCCTGCAGGAGGCTGCTGGCTCAGAGCCTGCACTCAGTCCTAGGAATCCTGGTAGGATTTTCACCTAAAGAATGATAGCATCCCCTCTCATCTTCTGGATTGCCGTATCCCTGCACCGCTGCTCCGCCACATGCCTGAAAAGGCAGGCTGCAGCATGGCCTGCCACAATCAGGTGCTGAAGTGCTAGCACATACTCTTAAAACATCATGCTGAAACAAAATCTAGCAGACAGAAGTCTTTAAAATATGGGTCTACAGGTTGTCCCCTTGGCAACCAAATGTGAAAGTCTTAATAGTCTTTGAAAGCCAAGGGACAAGTTGCTATAAAGGGGCAGAACTGGTATCATGACAATGAGTGACAGAAACACCTCTGTGAGGATAATTGAAGCTGCTCTCAGGTGGAAGTAAAGCAACACAGCACACACGTTTGCTCCAGTTCTGATCCCTGCTGCTATTCCATAGCAGGGCTGGTATGAGAAGGTACCGTGACATAGGGCTTGGGCAAGCAGACACGTGCAGATGTAATGTGGGAGGTGGTGTGAGCTGGGCAGTGCAGAGCCCAGAGGGAAAGGGTAGGAAAGTGAGTTTGGAAACTACAACCAACCATGTTTCCCTACAGGTCAGCACTCACCCTCAGAAACATTAAGTGTGACCTCCAGCATTCGGAAGAGATGAGCATGTTCGTAAAGTGCACACCAGTACACACCGGTGTCCTGCGCCTGCAGTCTCTCCATGGTGACAGTGACAATCCCCTGCTCCGTGTCGTCCTGGATCCTGACTCTGCCTTGCTGAGGTGTCCTCTGGTACTCCAGGCTGTTGGTGGTGACCAGCACTGTACATGATTTCCTTGCTCCCTCTTTACACCAGGCTTTGCTCACAGCCCTGTACTCTGGGGCACTGTATGGACACTGGACAGAGACATCGCCTGATTCCTTGGCTGTGTATTGTTTGGTCCCTGGAAAACACCCACCATGTTTGGTGAGACCCCAGAGCAGGCACAATACCATCACTGGAACACTGCTGTGAGCTGAATGCTCCCTAGATCCTCTACCTCCAGACATGAGGAGCAGAAGGGGCCTGGACCCACATTACACATGCAGAGGTGAGTCACAAATGGGTGTCCCCTTCCTCTGGTTCCCCCAGGGACTGCACGCTCATGGGCACTCAGCCCATAGGGCCTGGGAGGCAAGGACTGGGGAGGGATGGCAGCTGTAGGGCCAGATCAAGAGCAACGCCTGGCAGTGGGATTGGTCTCCAGCAGTGCCCAGCATGGGCAAGCCCAGTGCTGAGCTGGAGAAGCTGCTTCTGGAGCCGCTGGATCGGCCCTGTGGGAAGCACTTGTGAAGAGTGGCACCATTTGTGGGAGCTCTTGGGAACCTCCCCTGAGTCTCTGCTGGGAGCAGACAGAGCATGAAGGGCCAGGCCTGGGCCTTGGTTCCACAGGCCCAAGGGGGAGCTGCCAGTGTGTCTGCCAGAGAGATAGAGCAATGGGTGTGAGCTGTGTGGTGGCAGCGCTGGGCTCCGATGCTGTGGCACAGGATGGGAGGGAGAACAAATGGGAACTGAGGCTGAAATCTGGAGACATCCACACCTGGCTACCAGTAGGTACTCACTCTTGAACACAGAGAGCCTGACCTCCGTGAGCCAGGTGAGATAAGACCTTCTGTAGAGTGCACACCAGTACATGCCGGAGTCCTCAGCCTGCAGCTTCTGCATGGTGATTGTGACAGTCCTTTTCTGGGTGTCATCCTGGATCAATGTTCGGTCTTCCAGAGCTTTGCTGTTATGCTGTGTTGAAGAGTAGTCTGTCCTCACTATGACACTACACAAAGTCTCATCTTCTCTTCGACACCAAACTTTTGTCCCCAAGCTGTAGTTCAGGGTGCTGGGCAGGCACTGCACAGAGACACTGTCCAACTCCCACTTGTGCAGCTCTGTGAAACAGCAGATGTGGTCATGGCCATTAGCAGTAGGTGCCTGGGACAAACTGTGCCCTGGGGCAGCTACTTCAAGGACAGCAGTCCCTCAAGGAGGGGCTGAGGAAGGGAGGACAAGAGAGCTGAGAGCTTGCAGGTCTGTGGAGCTTCCTCACACTCTTGCCTGCATGAGTGGGGAAGGCAGCGAGCAAGCCTGGGGCAAGAGAGGGGGGGTCCAGGGAAGCTGCTCAGCTGTGGGGATGGAGGGAAGGAATGATGTTGCTTTCTGACATGGCTTGATTTTCTGTGGGGAAAAAGGTACTCACCCTTGAAAACAAACAGTGAGATCATCCTTAGTTGATGATACCCGTAGGAGTAGTAAGCACAGAAGTACGTGCCCGAGTCCTCTGCCTGGAGTTCAGTCATGGTGACAGACACAGTTCTCTCTGTGGGGTTGTCCTTTAATGCGACTCTCCCCTTTGTGGCCCAGTTTGTGTGTGAGTATTCTTTTGTCACCACTAAGGGCTCACACTGTCTGTTTCTGAGGCGGCACCAGGCTTTCTGCTGCTGGTGGGTAGTCTGTGCTGTGTAAGGACACTGGATGTACAGACTGCTGCCTTCTGAGCGTGTCTCCTCAGTCCTAAGTATTTGGGCCTGAAAACCTGTAAATATCAGATGTGGTGAGGGAGAGGGAAGCTGCGTTCTGCCTCCCAAAAGACCTGGGGAAACAGCCTGCGACCTTCCCCCATGGCTACTAATGGCTGGAGGAACTCTGAAAACCAAAATTGCTCCTGGCTAAATTCACCTGCTTGGAGACCTGAAGGTTGATTTCTGGGGGGCAGTGCTGAGATTTCAGCTGGGCCCACCATTGTGATTTAAAATCCAGTATCATTGATTTAAAACCACAGACTCGCAGGTGCTGGAAGTGTTGGACCTTCAAGCCTAAATGGAACAATAGTGGGAACTGGGGCTGCCCCTTCCCTTCCCATCCCTGCTGGGAGTTGCTCAGCTCAAAGTCTGGCCGGTGCTGGATTCCGGTGGGGAGCTCCCCAGGCAGCAGGAGGTGGGGAAGGGTGACCCCCGCTTAGGTTCATGGGAAGCCTGAGGCATGCCCAGCCCTTTCTTACCTGGGAAGCAGAGCAGCAGCAGGAGGAGAGCTCTCAGCTCCATGGCTGTCCTCAAACCCAGGGAAGGGGCATCGCTGGGGGCTGCCCAACGTGTCCTGTTCAGAAGTGTCTGTCTTGTGAGCCCTCCTGCATCACAGTGATGCTGGTGGAGGAAGTGCCTGAGCTCTTGCTTTCAACGGAAACACTTCACCACATTTTGCTGTGAGACTGATATTAAGAAAATTTGAGGGTGCATTTGCGGAAGTGGCTGAGGGCAGAGCCTGGCCCGTCCTGAGGGCAAAGGCTCTTTGCTGCTCTCACCTGGCCATGTTCACACTCTGCCCTCAGGGCAGCAGCACTGGGGTTCTCCTCGGGCTGTCCTGAGCCATGGGGGATGGAGCAGGTCCTTTGCTGTGCCCTAGCCCTTCTCTCTGGGCTTCCAAGTTGTCCTCAGCCCAGTCCCTTCCTGGACGGTCTCCTCAAAGCCGGGGTGGCAATGAGTCCTGGGCTGTCCACTCTTGGTTTCAGTCTGTGTGTCTATGGAGCAGGAGGCAAGAAACAGTCCCTTGCAAACTGAAGCCATGGTGTTGTGTGACTTCATGCTAGCTCCGCCGCAGTGCTGCATAAATGCTTGTGATGGCTGGTGGTTCAGTGTGTGGAGGGATCAGGCAGGAAACTGTGGTTGTCAAAAGATGAAGAGATTCTTCAGCTTTGGTTACAGCTTAGTACTGTGCTCAAGGACAGATCTTTTCATGCCTATTCAAGCTTTGTGTCTAGAGATACAGTGAGCACAAATATATATGGAATTATATTCCCCCTATGGAATAGTTAACAGGCCTGAGCTGGCTCTGTGGAGGCTTCAAAAGACTGAAGATATAAAAGGTTTGGTAAGGAAACAGAAGCCTGTGTCAGTCGTGTGTGATAGTAAAGCTCTGCTAGTCATACTGGGGGCTGCTGAAACAGTATTACAGTGCTGTCATTTGGATGAGCTCAGTTCCAAAATTATTAGCAACTCTTTCATGTACATTTGCTTCCTTGCTGCCTCCCAAAGACTCTCCTTTTCTTTGACAGTGGCTTTCAGAGGGATCCTTCCCTTCAGAGTTGCTTTTTGTGCTGCATCAAAGGTACAGTGCTCCGTGCACTTAGTCTGCCATGCCTCAAGATCCGTGAGTCTGCATCTTAACGATCAGCTCCCACTCTTGTTCCAACTGCTGTAAGGGCAGCTCATTCTTCTGCTTCACTCTGCAGACACCTTGTGCTTGCCCTACTGGGAAACATGTCCCTTGGTCAGTGGGGCTTGACACATTCTCTTCTGCTTCCCCTTGAAATCCCTGTGCCCTCCTGTGCCCTTCAGGCAGTGGCAGTGGAGCAGCAGAACAGCAGCAGATGCCTCCACTGCCACTCACAGGGTCTCCCCTGGGCCAGGACCTACCTGCTGCGCTCCAGCAGAGCAGTGCAGGAGCCTGTAGTGACACCCTGGCTGCAAATCATTTCCAATTATATGGATAAGCAGCTTATTAACAATACATTCTGGCTAATCATTTTGTGCTAGATAACTTTGCATTGTCTTGTCCCCAAATCCCTCTCTCATCAGGCACTTGATGCTCAGTAACAAGAAGGGGGGATGCACTTGCTCTCCTACAGCAAACCCCAGGAGTCTGCAATTAGCTCAGTTGCTGCAACTGGTTGCTGCAAACCCAGCCAAGATCTGTGCCCACTGCAATGCCTCCCCCCTTCCCACAGCATCTGCATTTGCTGTGTCCTGTCTTTGAGGAGAGCAGCACGGTGTGCCAGGATGGGTCATGAGCAGATGCCTGTCCAAGACCCAGCGTGGTGGTCACTAAGGAGCAGCAAGGAAGGAACGAAGTTGGTCCTTTTGCTGCATCTCCGACAAAGGATCGATATGGCTTTTAATTATAGTATCACAGCAAATAAAGGTGAATGTTATCTCAGGAGGTCACTTACTCCAGCCCAGGGACACTCAGTAGGGTCAGCTCTTTCAATGTGATTTCTAAAGATCTCGGTTTAACTCATTTAAGTCGCAGCATCCTCCTGGTGACCTGTTCCAGTGCTTGCTTGAAGCTTCTCCCAACATCTGACTCTCCTGCTATCTACATGCCCCGCTCCCTTTATACCCCTGAGAACTCAGAGCACAGATCATTCCCTTTCATTGCCTTTTATGCAGTGACGCCTGCCTTGCCTCCCTTCAGGATAACCACCCCCAAGCCTTGCAGTTTTCCCTCCCAGGTTGTTTCTGGCAGCTTGGATCATTTTTTTTCCCCCTTCTCATCAACCCACCTCTTCTGCCCGTCTTCTTGGAGTCCCCCTGAAGCTTCTGTTGAGCTCTTCATCCAATCAAGGATAAACCCACACGCTCAGAAATTCTTGCTGCCCGTTGATTCACTCCCATCGCCGTGCAACCCGCAGGATTCCGAACGCTCCGGTGGAGGTGCCATGCCGCTAGGAGGCGGGCGAGGACCGGGAATAGCCCCGGGACCGGGGACGGTGGTTTGCGCTCCGGTCCCGGGGCACGGCGGTTGCTGTGTCCCTGCGGGTGCTTGGGCACTGCGGTTTGTCCGTCCCTCCTGTGGCCCCCCTGGCTCTGGGAGGCAGGTGTCCGTGTGCGCCCGTCTTGTGCACACTGCAAAGCTTTCAGAGGAGCTGGATAACCCTCCCACCACCACCCTGCAGTGTGCCCTAAGAGGGACCTTCCACAGCCGGCCAGAGACCCTTGTCTCAAAGCGGTGAGCAGGCTACAGCCTTAACACCTTGCCTGTCAGCTGATGGAGCCTGCCCGGCCCTTCCTGGCGGCATTGCCACCAGTTGCTTCTTGAGCACAAGCAATACGAACCAGTCCTTCATCCTCATCTCCGCAGGGATGCGGGGCAGTGAGGAATCGATGCTCAATAAGCGTGAGAAAGGGGGATGCTGGGAGAAGGGAGAAGGTGAGGGCTGCTCTTAAGAGGAGGTTGCAGCAGATGGCTGGGGAAGCAGTAGCTGTAGGGAGGGGGAGTATGGGGGCAGGCAGGAGGTGCTTGCTGTGTGCTTGCAGGGGCTGCGGGGCCCACGGGACAAGCACTCTGTGAGCAGGACATGGGCTGCGGGCTCGGCTCGCTCTGAAGGAGAAGAGGCCCCACAGCAGCAGCTTAGCGAGAGGCCTGGTGTTTGGTCTGTTCCACATCAATGGGGCGTCCAGCTGTGGCTGAGGATGAAAGCAAGCAAGCGAGAGAGAGAGGATTAAAGGCTCCCAGGGTCTCCTCTAACCCGCCTAAGACTCGCCAAGAGGGCAGTGTGCGGCTTCAGGAAGGCTTCTTCATATGGAAAATATTATGTGAGGGAGAAAAAGAGGAGGGGGAAGGGATGAGGGAGAGAGGGAGACTTCTGTCCAGAGAGTGCTGGGGGAAGACTGATCACAAAACCCATTTTGGAGGCTCAGACCAAGCACAAGGAGAAAAGTGCTGAGCTCTGCCATAGCCAAGAGGGTGGTGGGCCAGAGGTGTGATGAGGCCTGGAGACAAGGGGAGAGAACATGAGGTCCAAACATGCTAAAAGCACCGAGAAAGAAAGGGATGAAAGAAGAAGGGAAAGGGATAAGGGGAACAGGGAGGCTGGCAAAAGGGAGGAGAAAGGACAGAAATGAAGGGGGAAGTGGTGAAAGGTGGAATGAGGGACACAGAGGAGAGCAGGAGGTGATGAAAGGGCCGCTGTCTGCTCCTCCATGATATTAAGCAGGTTACGGGGGAAGCAGCCACGCAGCCCCCCTGGCTCATCTCCTGCCCCGCCACGCTGCTCCCAGGAATGCTTGGGATGGGGAACAAATTGCTAACAGAAGCGAGACATTTTGCACTGAATGCAAGCAAGTTTCCAGTGAAAGGTTTCCTGTCAGTGGGTTGGGGCTGGAGGGTGTGGAGCCCTTCTGCTTGCTCTGGTGGAATGATGCTGGGGGTTGACGTGAAGCACTGGTTACAGTGCAGGATGAAGGGCCTGAGGCTGGGCTCTTCCTGCCTTCTGTTTGGGCTGCCAGCGTTTGGCTGCTTTCATTCACTGTTATTTTCTGCTTCACCCACGTGTGGCATTCTCTGCCTCATCAGCCCTTCCCCTGCTCCCCCGGCCACCCCCACCAGTGACATCTCCCCAGTGCTCACAGCCTCCACTCCACTTTCCTCCTTGATTTATACTGGTGAACCGAATGACCTTCCTTGACCTCATTTTCATGACAGTGCGAGCACACACATGGGCACTCAGCAAATGGCAAGTCCCTCTTGAGCAGCATTGCCCTCTGAGCAGCAAGGCCAGCTCTCCCATTCACATATGGGGTGGCTTTGGGGTCTGCCCCATCACCTGCATCCACAGCACTGCCACATCTGGAGACGTGCAGGACTTTTCCATTCTCCACCAGCTATGCTTCAAGGGAGCCCACAGGTATCTGTGGTCTGTCTCTGGGAGAGACAGTACCTGCTCTTCTTTATCTAGGTTGCTATGTTCTTCGTCATTGCTTGCTACATGGACCAGCCAAGCCAAAACACAGAGCTGAGAGATGTGCATTGACCCCCTGGTGTGGACGCACTTGCAAAGAGAGGGAATTTCTATTACCACAAATACGTGGTGCCCCATGACTCCTGATGGAATAAGTGCATTTTAGAAGGGCAGAGATCACTTCTCTCCCCTCCCTTGGAAACACAGAACTGCGTCTCTGCTCCTGGTTCTGAGGAATTTCAGACAAAAGACTGTAGTTTTTAAGTGAGAGAAGAGCAGCCAACCCAAAGGTGCTGCTGGGTTTGGAACAGCACATCAGCCACGCTGCTGTTTGCCATGCTCCAGCTGCACTCCACCCAGACTCCACTCTGACATCCCAGAGCTGCGGGTCTGCCACACTCCTTCCAAAGGGCTGGCAAAGTGGCTTTGCCCCTTTCCCTACCCCAGCGGTACACAAATCCCTTTGTCCCTTGCTCTGGAAATCTGCCTTCCTGTCCCTCCCTTCCCTGCCTTCCTGGGAAGTCAGCGTGGATACGGTGCTGCCGGCTTGCCTGTCTGAGCTGCTTAGTTAAGAATAATAAACAAACTCCTAAATGGAAGGATATTCTTTAAACCTGCCTTGTGCTGCCTGCCAGGGAATGCAGCAGCAAAGCCCACCTCCTGTCCCCCTCCAGCCCTCGCTCCAGGCTCTCCTGAAACCTGATCTCCTTTGCTGTGGAG